TTCAGTTAAGCTCCTGTCATTAGTGTCTGTTGTAGTTTCCAATTTGTTTTAAAATTCTGGCCATCTTTACTTGGACAGAATTTATTTCAATGATTTCTGTGCATCTTTTTCCAACTAGAGGGAGCCATCCTTATCTGGTGAGGCAGTTGACAATGTTGTGGTGTGAAATAACTGTGGTTCCCTTCAGGACAACGTATTTTTATGAAGTTTGTGTGTGCAAGTTAAACCTCACTGAAGCTCCATCATGTAAGTCTCTGAGAGGGTCTTAATGTGTTACAGGTGACACCAGCATTTAAACTCAGTGGCTGTACACAATCAGGTTTTTGATTCTTGACTGCCTGCTGCTATTAGAATGGAGCTTTCAAGAAAAGCATGCAGTCTGTTAGTACAAACTGCATTGCTGCATTCAGTAACGACACTTTGCACCTCTAGAAATGAGAGGAGTTATCAAACAGAAAGTTCTGGATTTGTGATAAAATTATACATAAGGAGGATGTCAGAATAAAGAAATTGTTCAAGCTATTTTTCTGTTCTTTTTCTTATCCAGTTATCTGATACCTGAATTGAGAATTCATTTGTAAGTAACTTGGGTCATGTCAGAACTCTCATTGCATCACCTACCGTGCTTCTCTAAGAAGCTTCAGCTTCTCTTGATATAGGTAATTTATAAGTGGCAAGGTTTGGAAATTATTGCCTTCCCCCAATAATCCTGTTTATGGATAGAATATTAAATTAAAATTAAATTACTCTTAAACTCCTATATGTTTTAATAGTAATACATTATTGAAGTACTCTAGTGTAGGGGTTTAGGTGCTCCCTTAAACCCCTCCCTATGTGCACACAATTAGCATTATGTTTCCCTGCAGCTGTGTGTATGTAGTGGTAAATAACTTCTTTTTCACTTCATGGTTTTGCCAAGTCCCATGTTACTGTTCTCTCCAGCAACATCATCCTGCTAGTTTTAGCATTCATCTTCCTGCTAGTTTTACAAATATTTTATCCAATACTCTTGTGAGTGGCAGTTGGAAGGTGGGGTGGGAATGGAATATACTGAAGTTGCCTTGTGACTAAGGTCTTTGGGCCTGATGAGAAAGGAGTGGAATGTGCCCAATGCATAAGGCAGGCTTCTAACCACAACACTTTCTGAGGATGACTTAGGCTATTCATTTCACTGAGCTGACTTTAACAAACCTGGAGTAGGAGTGTGTAGTTTTTTTCTTCAAACTAAAAACAACAACCAAACAAAACTGCATTCTGTTGGAGGATGAGCAGTTTTCCTCAGTCCATGCAAGACACAAAGGACCAAGCGTGTTCTGGAAGAATTATCCTTTGACCAGTAAACCGATACCATCCCTCCTTTTATATACTAATGAAAAGAACTTGTTCTACACACATGAATTGAATGGGTAGAAGCTATCAGGAAAATCCAATGAAAGGATTAGCTAAACTTGAATAGATTAATTAGAGCATTTGGATGTGTCTTGCTATGGAAAAGTCACAGCATAGGAAATAAGCAATGATAGTACATTCATCTTTACAGGTACATGAGCAGGGAAGCAACAGGAGTAATAAGGAGCAAATCTAAGCAGTTGTCTTGAGTTCTTAAAACCTGCTTTGATTCCTTATTCATCTTGGTATAGTTGAAAACTAAAAGATTATGATAGATACGGAGATTCTGACCAGTTCCTTACAATTGAGCTACAACTTGCTATTATATAAAATATTTTTTATTGTCTTCTGTCACCTAAGACAATGTGTCCTACTGGCCAGAGCCAGGAACTAAACTGCTACTGAAGGCTTCTGGCTTCCAAGTAATAATACAAGGCAAGAATCTTGCCTGGTTTTCCATCATGTGCTGAGTATAACTTGGAGTTCCCCTGAGGTTTGGAGTCATTCTGTTTTCCATATCTGGAAACCTAGAAGGTCACGTAATTTTCAGAACTAGTGATGGTTAACTTCTTCCTAAGGGTAAAGTACTGATGGTAACCATCTAAATCTTGCTCCTAATGTAGAATTTTCTCTGTTTGGAATGTCACTGCATCCATTTTCTTTGTTTGATTGACATGTAGATGTTTGTAGAAGGTTCATGTGCAAGAGAAATTCCAAGTGTTCCTATGCATAGTATGGAGTCTAGGTTTTCTTGGCATTCATATGAGATACACAACTTAATCTGTGACATGAAAAATCTCTAGTCTGTGGCTGCTGAGTGACTTTCAAACTTGTACTAACTTGTTATGCAGTATGCAATCTCCTGTAGTACAATTTTTGTTCCTGCTTTGCCAAGTTAAAAAAAACCAACTGGCCTTGAGATTACTGGACAGTCTAAACAAGAAGGCGGCTTTCACTCAGAGTAGGTCATTAAGCTTTTTTTTTTCTCTGTGCCATCATGTTTTACTTTGGATTATTTAAGCTATACAGCAATAAGACCTCTAAGTGACATGAATTGATCTTGAGATAGTATAGATTCTCAGGGCTTTTTTGCTTCATTCTGTTTAATTAAGAATACCTTAATTTGGTGTGGATACAAGTTGATGCAAATAAGAAACGCAATCTGCCAAATACAGGAAGATAAGTGACTCTGCTCAGGGAGTACTTCTTGATAACCTTGAATAGATCTTTCCAGGATTTATGCCAAAAACTTACTACCATTTGATTACAGTGGGTATTTGAAGAGTTTTCTGATTACAGACCTTTAGCTTCCCTTTACTGCTGTCTGGGAAAGACCATGTTTCTTTCCTGCAAGTAATGCATCTGAACTGGATAGCCAAAACCATTTGTCAAAAAGTATTCAGTGAGTAATCCTGACTCTCCAAGACAGGCTAATTATGTAGGTTAAGAAGTTGCTCAAAGCATAAGAAATCCAGTCTGAATATATAAATTGGTTTGGAAGACAATCCCAGATTTAAAAAGAACTCCTACATTGATTAAACCAAAGCACTTTGGTGCAAACAAGGAAGAGAAGAACATTTTTCAGAAACTTTAATATTAAACTTTTAATGGATACAAGTTGCAACATAAGGAATTGTGGTGAGATATTTTGTGGAGGAACAGCTTCTTTGTGAAGGCAAACAGACATCAAATCTGGGGCCCAAAGGGGCTGTGGGATCTCCACCACTGTAGTTATTTAACGTCCAACTGAACAAGGACCTGTGCAAACTGCCTAAACTGCCTTGCTATGAGTGATTGCTCCCATACAAAATTATTTCATTAGTTTTATTAATTGGATCTATTTCATGTGGTCTTGATGCTGAATCACTCTTAAAGATGTGTAAGCACTTATAAAGTAGCTTTCTGCATTTTTTCTGTATAGATATAGTAGCGAAGGGCAGAGATTCCTGAGCTTAACTGTCTGAAGACTCATGTTTACAATGTCATGGATCTCTAACTTGTTTTGTGAAGGGGCCATGTAATCTCATACTGTCTTTTTCCCCTCCCAACTTCCCTTTCCCCCTGTTCCCCACAGCAGTTCCCTTGTACCTGAAAATTGAGAAAATTTCAATTAGAAATATTTTGTGGATACTGTAAGGAAGACTAAATTAGTCTCTTCTATTCCATAGCCTGAATTAATTCTCCTCTTTGTGCAGGATCTTGATCATGCTTTTCATGTGTATGTGCTATTGTAGCCTGTGTGTCCTACCACAGTTTTTGGTGGGTTTTGGTAAGTACTAATATAGTTTATTTTTTTCCCCCACCTCTTGGAGGCAGCAGAGGTTTTCCATGTTGCTCTCACTGTTCCATCCTTGTAATACAGAATCAGTGCTGCAGCACTGTGAGCCAGGTTTGTACTGTGAGAGAAGGGAATATTGCATGTAACTAAGGTTAATCCGTTTTAAATGAAGCTTTCTTTAAGAGATTAATCGTAAAACTTGATAATGAGGAACTCGCTTTTTTAAAACTCATTTTTAAAAGTGAAAGAGATCAGATACCAAATTCACAGGATAACTGGGGTTGATGGGGGGATCAGAAGGACATCTAGCCAAACATCCTGTTCCAAACAAGGACAGCCATGAGGTCAGGCCACGTTGCTCAGGCCTTCAACCAGTCTGATCTTTGAAAGCTGGGCTAGGAAGGTTCAATTTCATTCTAGGAAATGGCTCAATAAATCCCTGGTAACTAAGAATTTTGAGTTTTGATATACATAACATCAAGAAAGTGGTTACAAAAGCCACATGAAAGATCAGGAGAGACACCCTGGTCATGTCATATAACAGCTCTGCTGGACTTGGATCAAAGCTCTGCCTTTTGCTGCAAGATGATTTGATTTATCCTGGTGTTTTGTAGCTCCAAGTGACTTAAGCTACTTCTGTGTTTTCAGTCTGATGCTTGATAGTATGTTTAGGCTAAGAGCCAGGACATTCCTAATGCCAGGTAGGGGATGAGTCGTGTGTAAATGCTTCTGTGGTAATGAAGACTAGAATTCAGGTGTGGGTGTATTTCAGATCTGACATACTGACTAGTTTCTTGCTTGATTGAAACTTTGTACATAATGTTCTCTGTTGATTACTGAAGGGAAGGACCCCAAATGCACAGCTTTTCAAACTTTTAAAGTATAAGCTTTGTGTTTTTAATACAGTGCCACACCTGTTTTCAGAACAAGTTGAACCCTGAAGTGTTTCAGCTAGTGTATCTTGTAATAGGGCTCATAGTTTTTAACTATAAAGAGGCCTGAAACATGTATTATGTTTTATAAAGTGCTGGTGCTTTTGGCTATAGGTATGGCATTGTACTGCTTAAGCATAAATTTGGAAGTCTAAAATGAACTGTAAAATACTTACAAAGAAACATAAGTATTACTAAAAGTGATTACTAACTTTCAGTTAACTGTGTCTGCTTTGAACACTTGTATAATGGCTAGAGGACAAATTTGTTTACATTTTATATGAACTTTTTAACATTTTGTGGCAATACTAAATACTTCATATAATATTGACAATAATAAATACTTCATATAATAATAATTCATATAGTCTTATGCCAATTAAAAACAATTTTTTCCCCTTATGTCTTTAAAGGCTTGCCATGGATGTACATCTTTATCCAAATGTGATTGCAGTGGTGTGAAAGGTGAAAAGGTAAATATTGCTTTTCTTTTTTTAACTGTCAGACCAGCACACAAACCACTGAACCATATGCCAGCTTCAGATAACTGAAGCTTATGGATAGTTCTTTGCTTCTTGCTCATATATTTTTTTCTTTGATGCACCAAAGGGCAGAGCTGTATTAACAGTTTCAGATACCAGACTGACTGGTATTTTTTGATCATGACTGATTTTTCATATAATTATTTTCTCAAGAATGGGGAATTCATGCACTGATTTTTTTCTATCTATCTGACAATTTAAGAATCACAAAAAAACCAAAGAGACAAATTCTAGTAAAATAGAAAGAATTCCTATTTACAGCCAAGACCTGCCTATACTAACTACTGAGTTGACAGTAACACCCAGTTACCAAGCTAGGGTGAGGAATGTACCATAATGGCTGTTCCAGTAATGCTTCAGTGGATTTAAAACTGAGTGGGTTGTTTTCTCTTTAATTGCACTGCCAGTTCATAAGTAGTTGATGCTCACTGATGTGTTTTGAACTTGTACTACTTTTCACCTTTTGTATAGCTGTATGCAAAGATGATGGTTGCTGTCACTGTCTAGATGTGAGTTGGACCATGGAAGTGACAAAATTCAGATACAGCTTTCCCAATACAGTTAGCTGCCACCCAAGTAAGCAGCTAGTTAATGGCCAAACATGTATTCTTGGATCAAGCAGAGTAAAAGCCATTCCCACTGCATAAAGCATCTCTATGTGCCTCATTCTAGTGTAACAAGTTGTTTTGATCTGCCCAAATGGTATCCTAAGGCCGAGAGATGCATGTTGACATATTGGAGCTTTCCTGCTTCCTTGCAGCTTTGACTTCCAGTCTCACTGCCTGTTCTTAGTATATCTGTACAGTACTTAAAATTTGTCAATATTATTTCTTATTGTTTTTTTTTTTCTTTGAGGAAACAACAGGTGCCCAGCACTTCTTTTAGTTACAATGCACTATAGATAAACAGCTCAGTACTGTGAACCAAGCAAGTACTCAATTCTTTCTCCATTGTGGGGGAGCCTGGTTTTAAGTAAACTGTGTTTAAATAGTTCCCATGTAACTGTTTTCACAGGGAATGAATGGGATGCAATCACTACAAGGCGCAAAGGCTACCCAAAATACTTCCGCTCTTAGTCTTGTTAACAGTTTGCTTGAGGTACAATGGAGTAGTCTTAAAGATGTGAAGTGATAGCAGAATTTGAGAAGCATGTCTTATCAAATCACTTGCCCTGTCTTAGTAAGGTTCTAGGAGGGTCTCAGTGCTGTAGATTAATTTCTGACACATTTCAAGGGTGGTTTTTTACTTGCATAAACAAATGTAACCTTAAAAGAACAAAAGTAATTCAAAACACTGGCAATATAATGTGCTGGTGAAGAGTTTTACTATTGGCCCAGGTTAAACAAGGCAACTGTCCAGAATTCAGGGTAATGCTCAATGCCACATCTGCCGTTCAGATAGCTCCAGACAAATGGGGTCATTCCTTGGCATTTACTTGCTTTTAGTTTATTGGGTGTATTCTCAATTTAGTGAAGAACGGTATTCTCTTGATGGCAAGATTTCCAAGTTAGATTTGGTTAGCCAAACATGAACCTGGTTAATGTTCCTAGAGGATCTCAGATGCAGCTGCCCAAATCAGATGTATCCTAACTAGTGACAAGTTATTTCAGGTTCAGTTTGAAAGCAGTTAAACATCAGACTTCTATGCCCAGTACAGTTAATGCAGGTACAACCTTGGAGAGCCTTTCTGTAATTCTAAATTGGCTTCTTTTTTTTTTTTTTTTTTTACTTGTCACAGCTATTTTGTGAATTCACTGAGCAAGTAGCTGTTGTCTGGTTAATGTGGATATAATACAATCTGTCCTTAGAATGGATATGAAATTGAGGAACCGTGATTCATTTCCACTGCAGCCAAGATAAACACAGCATAATCCTGAGGCATGCCAGAGGGTTTTTAAATAGCCCTTCTGAAGCTTGCAGACCATCATGTACCTCCTGTAAAGGAAGGATGAAAAGCAAAGCCCATATTTCCTAGGTATGAGGTGTTGCTAGTGGAACTTGTTTGAGCATACATGTACATACCTCATTATGTTAGTTGCCCTATAATTACAAAGCCCTCAGTATTTGATGTGTTGCTGGATTCAGCAGTTCAGCTCTGGGAAACCCCAAGGTCTGTCACTGAAATCCTAATGCTTTATCTTGTAAGCAAACCAAAGCGAAGAATTTATATTTTGAATTGGTATTTGAATCTTCCTAGGTTCTTGTACTACTACAAGACATCAAGGGCTATTTTAAGATGATTTTCTTGATCCCTCACAGTGTATCACTTAGTTGTACTTTTGATCTAAATTTCCAAATCCAGTGCTGCTTCTTTCTGCAGTGACCTCTGAACCAGGAGTCACATTCTACAGCTCCTTGCCTTATTGGTGTGGGAAGAGCACGAGACAAAGAGCTATTTATGTAATCTCCCCTTTTTGATTCTCCCATTAGGAGTGTGACAATGTATTTGAAGATGTACTGGAAGTCAGACATATGGAACCTGGTTCTGTACTGGGAAGACAGGAAGAGCCTTGTCTAATGCACTCTGCTGAGCCCTGCCTTTCTGTTCCACTTGGCTTCACTTCTGGTCCTAAACCAGCATCTGCATCCAAGTTGCTGCTCCCTTGTGTTAAGTCACCTAAGAAGTGCTGCTTTGTTCATCTTAGCATCTTAGGAATGCATCTAATGCATTCCTTCTGAGACTCAAAAGTAGCCTTCTTCCTAAGCATCATAGCATTCTCTTTAGGTTATCCCAATTTTAACAGGTCAGGTAAAGGAATACAAATTGAACTGTAACAAATAGGAAGACTATTTTCTTGTCTGGCTTTGGGGAGCCATGGCTCTAATATAATTGTTCCGGTACTGCCAGTGATTATTCTTTAACTCTGCCTCTGCCATGTGCCCCTGTAGCATGAGTAGCACATTATCTCTAGAAGATTCAAAGCAGTGTAAGCTTTTTTTGAAGCTCATAGTACTACAGCTGACAAAAATCAGTGCACTTAAGTTTTCTTCCTCTTTGCAAACCCACCTTACTGAACTTAAATGTAAAATGGGTAACATTCAAATATGCCTAAAATGAAATTCATGAAGAAATTAATTCATGAAGAAAGAAGTCAGTAAAAATCTGTTGCAGTTGGGACCCAGTTTGCTGTTACTCGAAGTAAGCAGCTCAAAAGTAAAGTGGATTTGTCAAGAGTATTAAAGCTGAAATGTATTACTAAAACGTTACATACATGTGATTATAGGAATTGCTCTCACTCTTCAACCAGAGGAAGTGTATACTTTTCATTTAAGCGACTGGGTTTTAAATTAATATTGCTCCACACTTTTGAGATGAACCTACTTTAATGCTTAAAAGCTGGTTCCTGAGTAAAAGGTGGCTGAAGAAATGAACAGGGCAGATGCTACACACAGAGCAAGGACAAACCAGTAAGACTTGTAGATTTTTGGTCTAGTTTTACCTCATCTGAAAAGAAGATCCAAAGCTGCTGATAAGATCAGCTTGATAAAGACTGGGGAAGAAGAGGAGGAAGGACTGGTATGGAGTCTCAGCTACTACCACTGATGAAGGCTAAGAGCCTAGGGCTAAGGGCACTTAGCCCAAGACTACTGTGGATTTTGCATAAGTGCTGCTGCTGAAATGGCTTTCATACCTTCCCCTAGCCAGGGTTTCCTAGTCTCTTCTGGAGCTTAGAGGGCCCTGATCAGAGCAGTTGGTGAACTGAGCTCACTGAAAAGAAATTTCCTTGTAAATTTTACTTGTTTTCAGCCTAACCAATTCTTTCACACAGTTTATGTTGCAGCACAACACTGTGTCTGTCATAGAAACACATAGCTTAAGGTGGGACTCTGTTTTTCACAGAACCTAAGATGCAGTTTCCCCTCAAAATAGCTGCAAATTGTGCTTTTTGACAAATACTGGGGACGGTTGATCTCATTTGATTACCTCAAGGTGAGGCCACATACTGCGTAATATCATACTCTTGCCCTCATTAGATATATATTCCTGGAATTCTGACTATCAGGTGAAAGTTATCAGTGTTTGTCCTCAAGATCCCTATTTCTTTCTGTCTTTATGACGGTAAAATTTAGTACAGTTGTGACCCAACCTCAGCTTTTCTTTTTACTGTTGTATACAACAGTATTCCTAAGAAATAAAAAAAACTTCTCTTTTAATCACTTTGTCAAGAATAATTCCATGATTGGTGTATGTGCTTCATAACTGTTGAGCTAAACTGTACAAATATGTCCCCTATATACTGAAATGTTTACAATCCCAATAACTGACCACTGACGGTTAAACCTCTACTGTTTCATTTTGCAAAAGATGCCACAGATGACATCCTGAAGAAATTTGGTATGTTTTGAAGAATGCAAGTCCTATCAGAGAGGATTTCTGTGTTTGTTTTGATTAGATACTGTAGTTTTAAATGTGTTGAATTAATGCTCTTCGAGTTGAGGGAGAATTTGTTGGCTAGCATTATAATCTGAGGCAGCTGTTACTTTCACCATATTTTTTAGAAAGGTGGAGAACGATATGGGTGGCTGTGGCATCACTTCTTCCCTGCTGTGCATCTTAATATTACTATGGACATTTCTACATGAATTTAGCTTTAAGCAGCCTACCCAGAATTAAGTGGTTTGAACTCCTATTAAAGCTCACTATATTCATAGCAAGGACAGGAAGCAAGTATGTGCCTCTCTTGTCAAATGTTACAGCCATATTCTTGCATTTTTAGACATTAAAATGGGCTCTTTAATTACTGCTTTATGACTTTTTTATTTTGCTCCAGTTTTTAATTTTTTTTTTCCATGACTGTATCACATCAATGTAAGTAATTATTCTGGTTTCTCTCCCCATACTGTTTATTTATAAATATGGAATTTTGGAGAACAAATTCTAGAAATGTGAATTACTTGTGCATGTTTTAAAATGGCATCTATCCCTGCTTGTGTCCTATTATTAGAGTACATGTAACTCTGCCAAACTTTTCTGTATTCTAGTTTAATTGGCTATATCATGCTGCAGCAAAGCATAATTTTAGGGTGTTTCCCAACTATATTTTTTTTTCTTTCTATGCCCCAAGCAACAGTCATGTTCAATCTTGTGACCTGGCAGTTTTGCCATATTGATGTAGCTGATTGAGGGCAATTGAGATCAGAATCTGACTCCATGCCCATTCCCCAAGCAAATGATGGTTCTGTAGCTGATGCATCTTTATTTTGATATGGAAACAACCCTGTATTTTCAGGATTGGAAGAGGAAATCTGAGTTGACTTAAACCATTGCTCTTTATGTTTTAGTTTAGTAGCTTCCAGTCTGAAACAAGAAGTATCCAACCTTCCTCAGTTCTTTCTGTGTAAGCAGAACTGACTAGTGAGTTTTTTGCATTTATAAGAAAATTTTTTGCACACTAACCAGGGACTACAATCTCATTCCCCAACAATGTAATGTCTTTTTTGGCACTGACATTTTGTGGAAGACTTGTTAAATTTCTTTTCCGTTTCAGTATGTTCTTGCAGTGAGCAGGCAGTTTTTTCTGCCATATTTGTAGCATCCAAATCTTCATGAAAATCAGTATGGTGTGGGCAACAAGAAAAAGCTGGAGGCAGAAGCAACATCTGAAAATGGCTGTCACTTATGGAATCATCTATAGGCTGTTTAGGTAGAACACAGTTTAAAAAAAAAAACCTCAAAGATAACTGAATCAGCATAGTTTCTCCCCACAAAACTTGCCCATGTTTCTTTAAACATTTTTTTATCAAAAATAGGGATTATAGAGCAGCGATTGTAATTATTTTCACTTTGATGTAAGTTCCTGTAGGACATGTCGGATGTACTCCGTCAGCTGTCCCCACGCATAGTCCTTCAAATAATCTGTTTGCTTTTGGGGGTAATTTGCTGGCAAACTCCACAGAAATTGCCCTGGCAACAGTTTCCTCATGCAAGGCTCTCATTTTTGCTGCTCATTTTCAAAGTGGGCTTGGAAAATACTCCTTTCAGTTTCAATGCTACAATTCACTAGTATCTGTTGTTGCCTCTTCCATTCCTCTTAGCTGTTTAGCTTCATATTTCTCTTTCAAGGCCTTGGCTTTCCCATTCCATGACTGTTTAGAGCAGAGACCTTGGCGTAGTTGCATATTAGAGGACAGTTCTTCAGCCTTAGATGACACACAAGGCCAACCCTCTACTAAAAGTCTGTTCTAGCAATGATTTGCAGATGCTACTTGCTCTAACAAAAACATGAAGAGTGACCAGGTTGAGATTAGTAGGCAGTCTGTAGCCTGGATTGCCCCTCACACATCTGACATGCCTCTTATACACAGGTGTGTTTTTTCAGTGTGCAAACACAGTTCATGCCAGAGCTTGCTCCAAAATCTGGTTTTGCCTAATGTTTTCCTTATCTGGCACTCCCAAATTCCTCATTCTCTCTCTTTCAGGGACATACTAACCCTTTTGTATCCTGGCCTGAGATAGTAACACTACTCCACACTGTCTCTTCAGATGAGGTAGCAGACCAACTGTATAGCTCCATGCAGAAGTACTTGTAATGGGATTGCATGGGATAACACCCTATGAGAACCTGTGAAACCATAAACCTATGAAATCAGTTTGAGTGCTGTAATTAAAGGTAAATCTGTCCATGTTCAAGAATTTCTTTAGTTAAGCAGGTGAGATGTTTCGTCACAGGGTTAGTTTGTCAGTGTGATGACATCCTACAGAAAAGCAGAAAGATAATGTGTGTTCTAAATTTTTCTATCATATATTTTGTTTCTGTCATACTTCACCTCCACCACCACCTATTCTTTTTGTAGGGCGAAAGGGGATTTCCAGGCTTGGAAGGACAACCAGGTTTGCCTGGATTTCCAGGAGCAGAAGGACCACCAGGTCCAAGAGGCTCAAAGGTAAATCCCAATTCACTTGAATGGTATGAAGGTGCTGGGCAGTGTTAGCTTAATTGTAGTGCTGATCCTAAGCAATTCCAGAACTCCTGATTATCATTGGTTTAACAGTCAAAATCTTCAGATGTTGGGACATAACAATTTTTTTGGTTGACTAGTTTGAATAGTTAGCCAGTGGAAAAGGATTGCTCTGAGTTTCTAGTTCTTCACCTATACAGGTGCTTGCCAGCACTACCTTTCACTAGGTGCTGCACATTAGGGTCAAAGAACAGGTCTGGCAAGGTGCTGTGATGTAACTTCGTTAGTCCTTGTACTAAGGAGATCATGGCTTAGCTGAGTTTACTGATAAGAGCAGAATTTTGCTCTCGGCTGCCCTGGGGGCTCCCACCATGTAGGTAAACTGTTGTTTGCACCTGGTGGTATTCCTGGGATGGGATTCCTGGGCTGGGTTTGGATGGGGTGATGCAAATGAAGGCCTTGTTGAACCTATGTGCAGAGAGCTGAGGCATGCACCTGGCTTTCCCTGGAGGGATGCCATTTATTTCTATTTACTACTGAATTGCATTCTTACACTCATGGTGTAACTCAGCGGTAAAATGTCTCTGAATATATTTGACTTTAACATACATAAGGATATCCAGGATCTGCCATTTCTTCTATAAATGCTCAGAGTATAAACCAAACAGAAGCACATCAAAAAGAACCAAAGGAAAAAATAGGCGGGTGATAAGAAAAAAATTAAGAAGGTCTACACTAAAAAAGAAGATTATCTGGATATAACAAGTGAAACAGCACAGGGGTATTGGACTAGAAAACTTTTGTTACACTTTTATTCCATAAATGCAATTTTTTAAGATTTTGATGCAAAGTTCTGCATTGTGATTCTATGATGATCATAACTCTGGTCCAGTCTGATCCGTGTTGAATCGTGGCTCCTGTGCTCTGCCCACAAGGGGCCGCTGGAGGATGTTCTGTGGGAGGGCTGACCCTGTGATTGTCAGTGACCCAACAGCACCGTGGCCTTCAGGAAAACTTTCTTCTAAGTCATGGTTAATCAGCTGGAACAAATACTTTTCAGCTTAGATTCCAACACCAAAAAGTTTTTAAACCCTTTAACTCAGGAAATGACAACTACTATAACTTTCAGCCCACTTACTGTGAACATGTAGGAGCAAGTTTAGGCTTACTGTTCAATTTTACAGAAAGACAAACTGCAGCTTGAGTGTGGGGTCTTGTTTGTCTGTTCCTGTTTTTTAGGGTGATGATGGTCTTCCAGGGCCTATTGGACCCAAAGGAATCAGGGTAAGTATTGATGTGGTTTTAGGGTGATATGTTGGAATAATGGATAAAGGCTGACAGGCATTGGATGGGTCCTAACAGAAGTGGTGATTGACAATAAAAAATTGACTTAAATCTGAAGAGTAATCTACCCACCAAAAGAGATTGTACTACTTTTTATAATTAATACAAGATTACATGAGCAATGTTATCTTACATATTGTTTGTATTTCATAAACTCTTTAGGGGGAGCAGCCCCAATACTCATTTGATCTGTTTTACAGTACAGGACCTAAGCAAATGCCAGTACCTTTGTTTCAATGTATTCTGAAGTAGAGGTAGTATGTCTTCACGCCAGAGAGGTGGACTTGTCTGGAAGTCCTTTAGATTTTGTGCTTTTGCTTTTTCTGTCAGTCACCTCAGCTTGTAATAATTGATACATCTCTGACTTCATTGAGCTGCATCCATTTCTTGCACCATGAGTGTTTATTTTCTCTATATATCTATAATCTATTACTTCAGTAGTTCTGCATTGGCTTTTCTATGTTTTTGTAAATATTTCCTTGAAAGACTGGTAAGAATTTGAATGCCATGTCAGCATGGCTTTTATTTTTTTTTAACGATGATTCAGATGTTTGTCTGTCTTATATCTGCACAAATAAGTTACATTTAGTGAAATCTTGGTAAATGCTTTTGCATACCCATTCATACCACACTATTTCAAACACATGATTAATTTCCTTCTAGGGACCACCAGGGCTTCCCGGGTTTCCAGGAACACCAGGACTTCCTGTGAGTAGGAATGGGCTGTATAGATACAAATCTATTCCCTTTTGTCTTCCAAGCCCAGAAGAGCATCCTGCCATCTAACTCTTCTTTCCTCTTTTCCACTTTAAAGGGATTGCCAGGACAAGATGGGCCACCAGGACCCCAGGGTATCCCAGGATGCAATGGAACAAAGGTAGAATTCCTTAAAAAATCTTAATGGAACAATAATATGGTAAAGAGCTCTTGTTCGCCTGGCTGTGCCAAATAGGTTTCGTCTGTCATGTGCAACAGTACTTTCTGTTACTGAGTTGTGAAGGTAATTCCAAGATAATTCAGACTTACACACCCAGTTGGGAGAAGGGGTTATGGTCTGGTACTTAAAGCACAAATTTTGCCAGAAATTGCCAGCACCAAGACACAGTCAAGGTATTTAAACTCTGTGTTCTAATCCTTACTTGTATAAGGTACAGCTGAGATGTGTGTCTGATAATTAGCTCAGATGATGTGTCTCCTCATTGTAGTAGACTCTTGTTACCAAGAAAAATCATTACTTAACAATGAGAGTTTTTAATTATTCATTTTTGATATTATATTGAAAATACTGATTCAGTGTCCTTGTTGGAGGGAATAATTTTATTCTGATGTGCTACTTAGCTTCATTGGGATTTTCCTAGAAGAGAATTTGATCTTCTATAACATTCCATGAGTTTTGCATCTTTGTAGTGTAGTACTTCACCTGGAATTATGCAGAAACACCTGATTGTGGAGATTTGTTTCCATCATTGAACAGCATCCATCATTCACTCCATGAATCAACTAAATGATTATTCTATCTTGTTCCAATACAATTTTCTATTCTGGAGTCATAAGCTAACAATTACGTTAGACTTTTGAATCAGAATTTGTTTATCTGGTTATCTGTTATGTTTTGGTTTGGTTTTGGCTAATAATTTTCTTCATCTCTAAGGGAGAACGTGGATTCCCAGGCAGTCCAGGTTTTCCTGGTTTACAAGGGCCTCCTGTAAGTAAAAGATTTCTCAATCTTGTAATCCACTGAAAGGCTTCTACAATGAAAAATAAGATAAATATCAGCCTCTTTTTTCAGTTTTTCTTTTAATAAATTGGATTTTTTTTTTTTAATATTTAATCAGAGTGTTTTAAAACAGTGAAAGTGAGTTTTTCTGCTGCATCCTGTGGTAAAGCTTAAAAACCCCTTTGAATTCTCACGTGCTGAGATGCTTTACCACCTGCAGAAAAATACAAATACATGCATACATGTCAGGGAAGAAAGATCTTGATAATGTCATCTCATATATCTAAAGAGCATTACTGGTGATTAATGGGTCAGAAAAAAGACCCAGGGTAGGGTGTTTTCAGTATAAAACACAAGGATAGTAAAGTGACTGACAGAACCAAAGTACGAACAGAGATGTAGTAGATGGGATGGATAATAGGAGGCAATATAGAAACAAATTGCTAAGAAAGTGAACTAAAATACTTCTAATGCTCTACATGCACTATGAAAGTTCTTCTCTAAGTTCTCCATTTGATTCTGAAGTTCATAAAAAATGTATTTTCCCTTGTTCTACATATTGTTATAAATTTCTCTCTTCAATGTTTGCCTCATGGTGTAAATCTGATTAGTGGTTTGCAAACAACATACTAGTAATTTATTTATATTGATCTTCCTTTTATTTTTTTGTTTCTTTTAAACAAAGGGACCCCCTGGTCTGCCAGGTATGAAGGTGAGTGTGCTGTACTCGCACTTCCAGGTATTTACCAGACATGGGTGTGCAGTGTGATCTGACGTGAGTAACCTGCTTGTTTCATGCAAGACTCTGTGCATCCAGTGGAACCTGGAGTGACATTCTTGGTTTCTCTAGACCACTCCAGTGCAGCTAACTGGAAACTCTGCAGTAGCTTCTTTGGGTCAGTAGCTTGAGAAGTAGCAGAGTGTTTCCTGAAGCTGTTTCCTTGGGACTGTGAAGAGTCAGTGTAGAAGCATCAAGTTAACAAACTACAAACATTCACATGCACCATTATACTCAAAACACTCCTAAAGACTAAACAATAGTGACCTAAAACACCCAGTGACAAGAATAGTACAACATCTTTTGTTCCTTTTGAAAATGTTTTCTTGTATTCTATATGTTACATAGGTGGCCTTTTCTCCTTAATCTAAAGAGTTGCATGATCTAATGTCGAATCTTTTATTTTTTTTAAGGGTTTTTTTGTACCTTTGACCAATTAGCATGGGCCAAAGCATCAGTTTTGATTTAAATCTGTTTAGGAGGAAACTTCACCCACAGAATTACACTGCTAAACTCCTGAGAGGACAGCATAACACTGGTACTGGAAAATTTGGACTAGTAAGCTGAATTGTCTTTCTTAGCTTATTTTGTTCCCATTATTAAAGAGATACTAAAGGACAATCTCATCAGAACATACACTTTCCAAACAAAGATATTCCCTGAAATCAATAAGAAACTACTTCAATACGGACCACAAAGCATGGTGTAACAGCACACTCAGCACTAATCTCATGAGCTAGGACATTGGAAAAAGCTGAATGAGCCTTTTTTCTATTGTGACCTATCCACTGTTTTCACATGGAGCTGGAATGTTTCTCTTGTGCAGAATTTGTGTTTCAATCCCCCTAATCTTTTGGAATTTAAATCAATGCTGATATCTTTGTACAAAATAAACCTTTTAATAATTGTTAGTTTAGCCATTTAGAATCTTCACCTCTCTTAAACAGAACTATTCTTGGAGAATCTAGTGCTAGATTCTTAGAGTATCTAGTATTAAAGTGTACTGCTAGGGTCTAGCATAGCTCAGAGTCTCTTAAAAGTCTTGGGAGCTACCATGTGTCTTTTGGAGTCAAGATGGTAGTAAGGAATTATAGAATGTGTTGTTAATTAAAGTCAGCTATATTTTTTCTAGGGTGAAGCAGGTGAAATAATTACATCCTTGCTGCCAGGACAGAAAGGTGACCCAGGATTTCCAGGTCTTCCAGGCATACCTGTAAGTTGCATAAAGTATTATTAGGCTGTGTTCTGACAAAAAGATAACATGAAAAGTAGTCTCATTATAGCAAATTCATAACTTGATGCTTGGGGTTTCATATATTTTCTTGGAGATGCAGGGCTCATATTTAAACTACCTCTGATTTATGGCTTGAGGGAAAGTGCGTGATTCCATATTGCTCTTAATAGGGTGACCAGCAGAAGGAAGAAAGGTCCTCTGGTCAGGAAGGTGGTATCCAGCAGACAGCAGTACTCAGTTACTGATTTGCTTCTCTGTTTTCCCTGCCTCTTACCCCTTCCTAGACATTCTTTGTATCAGTTCTGGAGTTCCCTTCCCTTCTTCACTCTGAGTCAGTCATATCTGGCTTTCTGGCTGTAGCTGCTGTTTTGGATGGTGGGAAGGAGATGGTAATGCCTCAGCTGTTCTCCTCATGTTGCACCTCCTGAGCAGTATTTCTGTTCTCCCAGCAGTGCTCTGTGAAAACAGCTAGTGACTCCAGGCCATGTGGTTCCCCACTGAGTCATTCATTGCTTGAGTGGAAAAACAAGGGGGGCCAAAAATGAGTCTATTGGTCTGAACTGGACAGAAGCCAGACTCACATTTCCTGGTGCAGAGAGGCAAGCCCCACACTATTCCGTGGCCAAACTGAGCCTGTTAGCATTTCTGGTCCTCTGATCTGTGCTTCCCTATTGTCTGTTTCTGGCTGGGAAGAATCACAAATACAGTGTTTTGTTGTTCAGTGAATGAAGAGGAAAAAAAAAAAGCAAAAGTAGTTCAAAACAAACAAAAAAGCATTCCTTTATCTTATCCAAAGAGATGCATTGGTGTTAAGAACAGAACTCTCCTAAGATTTAGGCACCGTTCCCCAAGGATAGATTAGTAGGTTAGTGGTCAGCTGCATTGATTTGACATGTATGGGATGCCAGCTGTTGGGTTATTTGAGCTTTAAGCTCTCACAGTTTATTTTTTTTTTCATAAAAAGATGCTTCTCATGGCGTCCTCCCCTTCCTCAACAGGGCCCACCAGGCTCCATGGGAATACCAGGTCCAATTGGCCCTCCAGGGCCCCCAGGTTTGACGGTAAGTTTCTTTAACCTGTTGCTCATAAAGAATTAAATGGGGCAGTTACTACTTCATTTTTGGTTCTCAGAGGCAGGTCAGTAAATTGCAGAGATCATGGTAGTCAGGACTTGGTATGAGGACAGCAGCAACCATGCATTCAGTTCGACCTGGAGCTGTTACTGTGCACGTTTAAATAAGATACTTCTGAAACAACCTGTTCCTAGACATCTTTTTGCTTTAAATTGTGCTGAATTGAAGGCTTCTTACTTGTGTGGAACATGAGACAAGATTTAGCTTATTTAGACTATGATGTCTAATGCCTGAATATTTAATTTAATTTTATGCTCTCACTTAAGGGAAAAACTAGTTTCTTACATATTTGTGAAATTGAATAGCATGAATTTTCAAAGGCAGGCAAGGTGACTTGTCAGTATGGAGATAATTCACAGGAATCAAAGCTGGAATGTTGTTGGTGGCTTTTGTTTTTTTTTCTACAGGGGTTTGTAAAGTGCTTTTAAGTGACTTGTTCTTTGGTTTCCTTTTTTAATAGGGATCTCCTGGTCCACCAGGGCTGCCAGGACCCAAGGTATTATCTTTTTCATATTGATGCTGCTGGTGGACTATTTTCTTTCTCTTTCTGTTTGTGACTTCTAAGGGCTGATGAGTTATGCTTTTTGCAGGGTAATATGGGTTTGAATTTCCAAGGACCCAAGGGTGAAAAAGTGAGTAGGTGATTATAACGATATTTTCTCTTATTGCTTTCAAAGTACTTATGCTTGCCATTTTTGCTTATATTGCCTGTAACAAACTGTATCTTCCTACACATTAGGGTGAACAAGGTCTTCAGGGACCTCCAGGGCCACCAGGACAAATTGGAGAACAGAAAAGACCAAATGACATTGAGTTTCAGAAAGGAGATCAGGTGAGTGGGACACTATACTCATCTGCGGTGTGTGTGATCAAGCTGCAGCCTCTGTTGGTTTGGCTCATATATGCTCACATCCTGCTTACTGCAGAGGTTCTATTTTTTTTCTCAGAGTAGTGAATATTCCAGATCTGAGTACTTTTCCTGTAATAGAAAGCATGCCAGTCACACTAGTTGTTACTTTCCTTAGTAAAATAAGTATTCTAAAGAAACTCTTAAAGGCAGTTCACAGTAACATTAAAAGCAGTTAAAATACTCCCATTTCTTGAAACACCCAGAATTGCAATTTTCAAAGTAGTCTGGGGATTCAGATTCCCACTAATTAACCAGCTGTGTCATCCATTGTGAAGAAGTCTTTCAAAATTTTTTAATTCAATTTCTTCTTTTTTTGTTATTGGTGATGCCCCAAGATCTTTATTCCTTGTGGTTTGAATAAAGTGCTTTCCCTGTTTCTGTTTCATCTTAAAAGTAAATATCAGTCATATTGTGACAAGTAAGCTCAAAATACTGGTTTGATTTCTATAGACCCCTCCCTACACATAAATGTCAGAAGGTCATTGGGAGTTAGCATTTTAAAAGTTATTACGTTTTTTTCTATTTCTTTTTCAGTGGGGAACATCCTGCAGTACCGTTTAATTCTGGGTGCCATAGACAGTCTTAGTGAAACTAGCAGGATCATGGGTGCCTGGATGTCACATTTTCCTTTTTGTGATACTCTCAAATACCACCCTGGTAATAGAAGAGTTGAGGTAGATACTTTGAGGGAAAACTGTTGAGTGATGATTTTTGTGCTCTGATTATTTTGCAAATGTCACTGTAGTAACTGAACTTTAAACTATTAATTTATTCCATCGGTATTTGGATCCGTTTCCTCTTTTCCATCTTCTTATCTTGGGAACTGTATCAGGGAAGAAAGCTTTGGGACACAGTAGTATTTTATTTTAGCAAGGTATAGGGCAATTCTGCCCTTCATCTTGATCAAAACTATTTGTTACTTTTCCTTTCAGAAGAGCAGTAAGCACCACAAAGGCGTTAGCTAGAACTATGTACTGGTGTACACTTGCAGTGCACAGTCATCCTAGAAAGGTTGCTGGTTTTGTCTGTAATTGGGTGATAGGACAAAAAATAAGGAACGACATTGTGTGTCTTTATAATTCTAAGAAAACACAAGGTGACATTTTGATCACACTGTTGTTGAAGCAAAAATTCATCTGATTTTACTGGGGTCAGAGTAATTTGATTCTATCATCAGGGACTCCTGAAGGACTAATTATACTGGCACTAATTTATGTCAATGTACAAAGTAAAAGCATTCGACCTACATTCCTTTTAAAGCACTAAGAATTATAAACATTCTGACAAACATTGCCTTTGACCAACATTTATAATGATTTCCAAGTTTGCAAGTTGTTTTTTATTTCAATAAAGTTTATGATTGGTAGTATACAATCAGTAAAAAATGTCAACATTGCAGTTACTTTTTTGTGAAATGCACATGGAGTTCCGGTGTGTGGCTTCACTTACGATCTTTTACTAAAATCAAGTGTGTAGATGGGCTTGTAGAAGTCTGGAATGACTTCAAGAAAACAATAGAAACTGCACAGAAACTTTTTGTGGATGCAGTAGCCTGTAACTTTTCTTTACATTAAAGGTGAAAAGATTTAATAACTTTTACAAAGGTGTAATAAGACAAAATAGAAATGAGAACTTGTTAACACAATGATCCTGTGACACTTTTCTGACAAACACAATTTGATCCTGATGGCCTCTCAACTTCAGCAGTTACCAGTAATCTAATGACTGTTGCTTCTATAATTTCAGCAGGATCTGGCATTTGTTTGTTATTCCTTCTTTACTATTGGATAGCACCTGCAGGCCACCAAATCAGCTGCTGCAGTGCATGCAGGATGCAGTTGTGGTTTTAGTGGAGTGAATCATCTAAATAAATAGGATGAGCAGTTAATAAAATTTATAGATTCACTTGAAATTCCACACAAAGACAGAATAAATGTGATCCTTTATAACTTGGAATATAAATGACAGCAAAAATATTATAGTTAAGAAAAAAAGTCAACTGAGCTGCTAGGGAGTGATGAAGGCATTAATCCTCTCTTTCTCTGCCTGTGCTTGACAGGGTATTCCAGGTGATCCAGGCCCACCAGGACTTCCTGGGCCACCAGGTCCTCCTGTGAGTAGAACTCTTAGTTCTATTTTTTTGCATCTGTATCAGAACTCTAATTTCGTTCTACTCTGCCTTGGCTCAGTTTAAGATGATGTTTGTGTGTTCAGGGTCTTCCTGGTGGTGTAAAAGGTGAAAAAGGTGAGCAAGGAGAACCAGGCAAAAGAGTAAGTAGTCTGTTTAACCAAACATTTACTTTTCCATTCAGTGTTATCTTTGACAATTAAGCAAATGTTGAATTCAGGTGGGGCCATCAGTTTATGGGTAAGAGACTATTTTTTTTTCTCCTTGTAACCTGGCAACTTGTAAATGATGCACAGGAGTCATGACAATGCTTCTGGTTATGGCTCTCGGTGCTTTCTGATAGAATTATCTACATGTAGATCTTAGTTGGGTGGCAGGAGAAAATAAATCTAGTTAACAACTTCAAAGTTGTTGGACTGCTTGTCTGGAGCAGTTTTCTGTTTCCTTTTAGAAAGGGTCTTCATTCAGTTTGCTATGTACTGGGTTGCCAAGCAGCATGAGATTGGTGTGTATACTTATATTAAAAAGCTTGTCCATGTAAACTCATTCTTGGTGGATTTGCTTGTGAGTTGGCTCACAAAGCCAAGTCTCTGAACACTGTTAAGACCAAAAGTCTGTTTGTCACTTCCCACAAGACTGCCTCAATTTATGTGTTATCTGGGGAGGGCGGGAGTCAGGATAGCTTTATATAGCAAGAGTCACTTTTTTCCTAACCAGACTCAAATCAATCCTGGAATTTAAATATACTTGGATATCACAGCTCAGAAAAGATGAAGAAGATCATAAAAGTGCTGAGAAATAGGATAAAAATAACATGGGTTGGACCAGCAAAGAAAAGAGAGGCTGTAACCAGTTTAAACCATTCAGTATCTTCACTTCCACAGCTTCTGAATGCATTGTTTCAACAAAATGGGCACCTTTGAAAATCGAGACACAAGTTAATTGGACAATATATAAACACTGTTTAGAAACATGGTAGTAGTAGGTTTTCCAATTTCCACAGGAAGGAAATACAGTGGAAACAAATATTTGGTACTCCAGATAAAATCCTTCTTAGTTGCTGAGATTTATAGAAGGGCTTTGATTTGTCTCTTCTAAAGAACATGACAAGCAGATTTACCAAGCCAAAAGTCTTATTATATTTTGAGTGGGTTTTGATTTGTTGCTTTTCTCTGCATAAATTAATGGGAACCACATAAACTTGCAAAGATCTGAAAGGATAAAAGTCCTGAGGGGATATGTCAGATGCTTTTGTCAAAAGCTAGTTTACCAATATTTTCATTTGGTTTTATTACTCTGAATCTGGGCACACTGCATACTTGCAGTGCAGTTTTGCAATTAAGTTACTTTAAAGTTGCATTTTAGGGCTCTATATGATTCTGTGAGGCTCAAAGCCATTTCAGATATACTCATAAAAATGTCTATGTATTCAAACAGATCTGCACATTCACACAAAATCTTAAAACCTCAGTTTTGAGATTTAGAACTCATCACTAGTGAAAACAAACTTGACAAATCACATTATACTCTAACTCACTGAATCTATCAAGTCTTATTATCAACTTCTCAATGACTGAGAGCTGATCATGGCACTGAGGAAGGTTCACTAGGTGAAGCTCCATCACCTGCTCTAGTTCTGTTTCAGCAGGTGTCCCCACACATGGCTTCTGTAACTGACAATAAAGTGCCATTTGTCTGCCCAGTGAATGGTCTGGAATAAAGTGGAGCTTGCCCTGCTTTTATTGCGGCAATAACAAATCTGTTCAGCAAGAATATGTTTTTCAGAAATCACTTCTTTGAGTAGAACTACATCTTATATTTTCAGTGATACTAATGAGAAAATCATGTTGGTATAAAGGAGAGTTAAAATTCAAACACAAAGTTTTATTTAGTTTCACTGGTCACTTTACACTAATTTCTAATTAAATATAGTGTTCTACAGTTTAGGGAGTTTCTATCTGTTTTTGAAATAAAGAAGTTCTCTAATGCTAAAATAAATGGAGTAATAAACACAATGAATCAGCTGTAGTTAACCAGAGATAATTTTCATGTTGTATTCACCCAGCATTTCTGAGACTGTTGTGGTTTTGTGTTCTGGTTTTCAAAATGGAAACCACCATTTAGGTAACTTCATTGGTTATGACTGATGTCTTTGATGTGTTGTCTCAAGGACTGCATTCTGGATGGAGTTTGGTTTATTGAAAAATGGGAAACAAGTAGCATAATTTCTGTAAGAATTCTTCACCAATGAAGCATTTTATTTCAATGAATATTTGTCTTTGAAGGGAAAGCCTGGCAAAGATGGAGAACCTGGTCAGCCTGGTAGGGATGTGAGTAAAAATTATGCTTTTAATCTAAGCAGACTCCTTATAAGTTTTTATTTTGATATGGAGAAGATCTGAGTGTGATTATATTTTTTCCCTTGTCTTGAAGGGTTTACCTGGTGGGCCTGGCATAAATGGTGCTCCAGGAAGAGATGGAGAAAAGGTATGCCAGGATTTTTGTCAATATTGCTGTAATAGATTGTAAATTTGCCATCACTGAGTTCTGTTCTACCTGAGTTGTAATTGCATTGCCTATGCTATTACAGCGTTGAGGAATATTTGCAATAACTTGTTTATGTACTGCTGCACAGTATCAGAAATGCTCTTAATTTCATTGGTAGGGTGAAAAAGGTGACATGGGTCCCCCTGGTCCTCCTGGAATTGTAAGTTGCAGATCCTTTTTTTTTTTTTCTGCATTTGGTTGACAGTGTTTCATTGTAGTTCTCGGCTGAGTGAGAGTCCTATCTCTGGGTACAGCACCAAGAGCACCAGAAAATTTTTCATATATACACTAACAGAAACAATGGTTTCCTTCTTTCAAGATCAGTTCTGTGCTCGGGGATTTGCTAGGTCACAAACACAGGCTAGACTATAACCTCAGAACAGCAGGACTGTGTCAACCTCACTGAAGCCTGTTGTAACTATGTTGGCTTGGCAGGCAAACAGCTTTCTATTGGGGAGTGCTCTTTACTGGAATTTTCCCTTGTAATTCAGTGGAGTGGGGAAAGCATCCTGTTGTTGACATAAGGTTCAAAGTATGTTGAACTTTCCCTCCCTCACATCTCTTTATGATTCCTATGACTCTTTTCTTGGCAAGTAGTTTAACATGAGCATGAAACATTTACAGGTTATTCCAAGGCCAGGCATTGGTGCAACAGTGGGACCAAAAGGTAGCAAAGGATTGCCAGGACTTCCAGGAGCCAAAGGAGAGCGTGGATTCTCTGGTAGGCCAGGCCCACCTGGCTTCCCAGGATCTCCAGGTAGGAGTGCAAGCTTTAAATTAAGTTGTTTGCTCAAACATGTATTGTTTGTGGTATTTGGCTTCACAGTCTTTACGCACTCCTTTTAACAGAAGGCAGAATATTTAGAGCTGCCTTTGAGCTTGAAGGGTAGTCTTGAACTCCTGGGGATAATGTGAGGAATTTTGAACATTCATTGCCCTTGCTGTGGTGAACTGAGAATGCTAATCAGATACTAGCTTAATACTCTAGAGGTAATCTATCCCATATCACTTATCTATAATATATTATTATAATCTCTAATTATAATATTATCTATTATATTATATATATATTATACTAGCTATAATGTATTATTATATCATCTATCTATTATTATTATAATACATATATTATTATATTATTATTGTATTACACAGAGGAAGTTTTGTGTACCACAAGTCTAGTAGGAGATGATCTGAGTCTACCATGGGAGTGAGTAGTGACACCTGTATGTATATTATACATGCACAGAGAAGAACATCATGATTCTAATGTTACAGCTTATATATATTCTTTTTTTCTCATCAATACTTTCATTAGTTGTGGGTTTTAGGTTTTTTTTCCCCGTTATAAACTTAGTTGTTAAGTCTCAGGTCGATTTTTCAAACAAACATCTCTAAAAATGTGAAATGTATATCACTGTCATCTGTGCAAAAATGTGATGTAAACCATTAAGCTAGCAAGTAACTAAATCCTTCCTGTCTTAGGGATCACTACTGTTGGACCTCCCGGCCCACCTGGCTTACCTGGTGAGAGAGGACAGAAGGGAGATCCAGGTTTACCTGGTGTTTCTATTCCTGGGCAACCAGGAGTTGAGGGACCACAAGGACCTCCAGGACCACCAGGTCCCCCAGGGCCACCTGCACCATCTGTTGCTCCTGGTAAGTCATGATCACATAAACAGCAAGTAGAAGAGACTAAACAGCTTTGACATTTGTTTAGGTTTGTGTTTCTGTGGTTTTTTTGTTTGGGTTATTTTAATTCCACCTCCAAAGATGTCATTTATCAGCAGCTGAAGACCATGAGATTCTATTCCTATACATTCTCCAAGTTGCTCCCATTGCAAACCTAGACATCTGTAGGAGAACCTTAGGCTTAAGTACACAGATTTTTTTCCCTACTAAGAGTTGTGATAGTAGGAGAGTCAAAGGTGTAACTTTTCATGGAATTCCAGTTTCATTTCATAATATTCTAGTGTGTAGACCACATGAAATTAGCTTTGGAGTGGACAGTTTGGATGAAAGCACTTAGCTCATTTTCTTGGTATGAGAGTAGTGAATGGCAGATGGAATATAAGATCTGGAAAGCTGCAGTGGAGGGGGGCTAGCATGGTCCAGGGAGGAATTTAGTGTCTAGATGGCATTGGCATTTGAAGTGCCCTTGCTCTGATGATGATTCATAGGTATGTTTTTATGATATGAAGCTGAATATCAGAATGAGGTGTAGTAATGGAAGTGTGTAGGCTGTGGGAAGCAATGGAAGATGGTTAAGGTTGTAAAGAATCGATTATTGTTGTGTAATATCATTGTTTCCTTTTGAGATTTAATTACATGTGAGGGTTTTCACCAGTAGTCCTGTCTGAATTGCCAAAATATTTTGTCTGTGATTATGGTGGTGTATTAGAATATCCACACAAATACATTTTTGTACTGAATGCATGCATTTGCTGCTGCTGTCAGTCTAACACAAATAGATAAATAAACCTTTCCTGATTTTCCTTAGGTAAAGAGTTATGTGAGCAAGGGCCACCAGGTCCTCCAGGAATTCAAGGACAACAAGGTTTTACAGGGGAACGAGGCCAAAAAGGTGAAGTGTCATAGCTATATTTTCTATTTTTCTCCTTTTTTTGAAACTTGGTAAAAAAATGGAAAGCCTGCATTAAATAATGATTAATGGTGCCCCTTCCCAGTGAGGGCAGATGCTTTATGTCTCTGAGCTGTTTGCTTTGAGTGTAGGATACTCCTTCACCTAATATTAAAGCACAGGAGTCTGACTGACTGAGGGTACGACCAATGTCTAACATGGATCTTGAATAAAGTAGAATGGAACTTGAGGTTTATGAGAATCTCCCAGGCAGATCAAAACTGGGTATTTTGTAACAGCACTGGCCAAGTCTGTGTGAAAATGTTTTCTAGTTCATGAATAAATTTGATGTTTTTTATGGAAAGCAGCATTAAAATTATAAATACAAGACTCCTAATTTGAGTTGGTCACTCTGCAGTGAGTTTGTTTGCTAAGCAAAAGAAAGTCATATTTAATATATATCCTTGTTTCCAAAAAGACAACCTTGCAATGAGGATGCCGATATGGGTAAGTGAGAATCTTTTCCTAGCCCAACCGTGGACATCATAAATTACTTTAGGCATCTCACTTAATGTTTACTCACTTCAAAGAGAAATATTTTTTCTCATGGCAATTGTAAGGATTAACTCATTAACCTAAATTAAATGCTCAAATATTTCACTGATGAATGTCACATAAGTCTGTATGTGAAGGAAATTCCTAAGCTTCTTGAAACCAATATTTTTTTTCTAATTAAATACTTTTAGTCTATTTTCAAATCAATGAAATGTTCCCAGTATTTATTTTGCAGTCTTGGAATTTAATTAAGTTTGGGATTTTGATATATTTCATTTAAAGCTGTAGTTAGAAGTGTCAAGTACCTACTTTAAAAGAGGACACTTGCTGAGAAAAAAAAGTCCATGGTTTTATTTTCTGTTTTTGAAAGCACTGTTTTAATTATTTTGCACTTTCATAAATGCATTCTAATCATATCTGATACTGGTTTTCTGACTCCTAGCCACCAAAAAGCTTCAGTTTAACTTGCGGTGGTGGGGAGGAGAGAGGAGGCTTCTAATATTTAAGCAATAATTATTTGAACTAGTCACTTTGGGCCTGATATTATAGATCAGTACCAAGAAAACAGTTGCTGTTGTGCTGAATCCTTTTAATATTTTCTAAAACCTGATGCTCAAGTACACTTTTTCAATGCAAATCTTTAGGTGATCGAGGAGACACATGCTTCAACTGCATAGGAACTGGAGTAACTGGTCCTCCTGGGGAGAGAGGACCACCAGGACCTCCGGGTAGTCCAGGTAGAGCTAAAGTCTTCACTAGTGTGCTTAATATGCTGTTTAAAGTCACTTTTCTATCAGGGAGTCCATGTACAATGGTAACAATATATCTGTATATTGTGTACAAGTTCAAATAAGCATTTATCAGTTCCAGTGCAGAGTTGGTACATGTTGTATTTTGCACAGTTGGAAATAAACAAGATGGGCATGTGTAAAACAAACACTCGTTCTTTGAAAATGTAGTCTTTGAAAAATATCTCTCTGTTCAAAGACAGCCTTGCAAGCATTCTACATATTGAAGGTTTAGAGTCTGCTGTAGATTTAACTGAGAGAGAAAATCTAACTTATACTACTGCTATTCCTGGAATAATGGAGGAGCTGGAGCTTTTTTAAAAGCATGATGTTTTTTTACTCTACTGGTTCAGTTCAGAGTTGCAAATTTGTTTCTGCTCAAATAAAATGAAGCTCTCAAAAAAAAAACCCAGAGTAAACTTTGTCTGGTTTTAACACAACTTAGTTAGTACCAATGAAACAGCATGCTTGATATTGCAGCCTCTCCAGATTTGTTTTTCTTTTACTTTACTGTTTTTCTGTGCTACTCAGGTTCTCCTGGCTTTCCTGGACCAAAAGGTGAAAAGGGTCTTCCTGGATTAACTGGCCTTGTAGGGCCACCAGTAAGTGCTGGTGTTATGTTCTGGTGGGGAAAATAGTGTCTCATTTGTCTTGCATGATAGGTAGATCTATAAACAAAAGATTAAATTTTGTCTAATACATATTTTTTTGTCCATAAGTACCTTGAATGCATGATTCATATATTGTTCCATACTCAGAGAGGGAGTGAAAGAAAAACTCAAATATCTTTTTTCCCCTCTTCTTCTTCCTCTTCTTTTTTTTTTTTTTTCCTCCCTCAGGGCTTTCCAGGCATCCCAGGTGCTCCTGGTAGACCTGGTCCTAAAGGAGACCCAGGGGATGTCTTGACTTCTCCAAGAATGAAAGGTGACAAAGGAGACCCTGGCCTCCCAGGACCTCCAGGCCTCCCTGGCATAGATGGCACTCCTGGACGAGATGGACTGCCAGGTTTGCCTGGCCCTAAGGGGGAACCTGTGAGTTCCATTTTAGGCTGTCTTTGACTGGATGGATGTTTTGGGAAGTCCTGCATACACTTGACAGAGTGCCGATAAGAGAACTGGCACAAATGCACATTCTCTGTATGTGATAGATAAGGCAGGAATTCTCTTCAGTAAACGCCAGTATAGTGATGATACACTGAGGTACCTCCTAAATCTGACAGTGCTCTAGAAATAATCCAAGGCTCCCTTGGGCAGTGTCAGAGGGTCCCTTCTGCCATTGTCTACATTTCACCTATGTACTGGGAGGAGCTAAGTATCCAGGTTTAGGGCTGCTTTCTACCATGTTAGCAAGATGTAGGCAGCTAATGAGAGCTGAGAGGATGGAAACTTCCAGAGAGTTTCAAAGCAGAAGCCATGAAACACTTTACTCTTGATAGTAAGTACATGATCTTTCCCATCATGCTCTTTCTATTTTCAGGGTAGTATTGCATTCAAAGGAGAAATGGGTATTCCAGGTAAACCAGGGATACCAGGCCTTCCTGGAGAAAAAGGCCTTCCTGGACCTCCTGGTTTTGGTCCACAAGGCTCACCTGGTGAAAAGGGCATCCAAGGTGTATCCGGCCGTCCAGGGCCTCCTGGTGTTCCGGGTGAGTTGGTCTCTGTGTGCTGTTGAGCAAATGCTGCAACGTCAAATTTTTCCCCTTTTGCTCTAGGTAGTGCTCAGAACATAATGCTACCTCTAAACTTTTCCTATAGGCTTTGTGACCCCCACTTAATGAGGGTCCTCACAGAACCACAGGGAGAGCAGTATCTGTGCCATATCACTTAAGCCATGTGCCTCACCTTCCGCTCTGACCTCCAGGAGAGCTTCTCCCTATCCCAGTGACTGCAGTGGAAGTACATTTTAACTACAAGCATACATTGTATGCTTGGCCATACTGCAGATACAACAGGTTTGGGAAAAAAGGGGGTGCTTTGAAAAAGTTGGCTTTTGTTACTTTCTTGTCAATTACACAGATCCTATTCAACTTGTGCTGGTGTCAGTTATGGAAAATACTATTCACATGATGGTACTTAGGATGAAGCTATAAAAACGTAACAGTTCAGAAATATTGTCTGAACATTGAACAGGGCTTCTGAGCCTCTAAGTGCTTTGCGGGGCTTGGGACTGGAGAACCTATTGAATAAAGTATTGCCGGTGTCTGAGTTCTTTGTAAGCTTGGGATAGGACTGGCATCTTTTCCTGCGGAAACAAAAACAGAAAAGAAACTCCTACTGAGTGATTCATATTTCTGCTTTTTGATTTTAGGTCCAAAAGGTGACCCTGGCCAGACTATTACAGAACCAGGAGTTCCTGGTCCCCCTGGTCCTCCAGGAAGAAATGGTGATCCAGGTCTTCCAGGTAAGGAAGCAGATAGATACCCAGGGAATTCCAAGAGCTTTTTATTCTGGTTCTGGATAACTGTTGATGGATAACTCTTTTTACAGGAGATCCTGGTCAGCCAGGTCAGCGTGGTTTACCCGGCATCCCAGGTGCAAAGGGAGAGCCAGGTATTCCTGGTATTGGACTTCCAGGTCCACCAGGCCCAAAGGGTATGCTTACTGTATTGTACTGACTGGAAGAGGGAACATAAGGGGTAGTGACTCTTCACCTTTTACTAGCAAGTTAACTTCTGTTTCTAGAATCTTTTAAAAAATGTTTGTCCTAAAACTCTACATCTTTATTACAGTGTCTTGGTTTGAAAAGACGGGTGTCTAAGGAAGTCAGGAACCTCCCTTGAAATGGAAAAATGTAAACCAAACCCCCACCCCAACCCCCCCAAATTATTATAATCTTGAAATCAAGAGGCTCTCAGGCAAAGATATTGGAATAGGAATAACAGTTATTTTCCAGGAAATTCAAATAAAAATGCAGTAGTACAAAAAGAAAACCACTGACAGAGTCAGATACAACCTCACATGCTGTTGGGCAGGGTGTTGGTAGCAGTCTGATTAAATGGTTTCAGAAATACCAGGAAAAAAAACTGCTGAGCTCTTATTACTCTGTTCACTGTCCTGCTCCTTCTCAGTAGCTTACATTCTTCAGTAAACCAATAACACAAAAGTGGGTACAACTTTGGGAAATGAGCTTGAATCAATAGATTATTTCCAAATGCTGCCTCAAGATGTTAATATTTCTGATGTGAACTGCTTGTGATTTTTGTAAAAGTTCATGGCATAGGGATTTCCCCTTCTGAGAGTCCCAGAGACCCTTTGTGGCAAAGACTGAATTCTCAGAAGTTCTCTCACCTGAATGGGTACCTCTTCAAGTATGCTTGGGCTAACACAGGACCTCTTTTCATGGGCTTTAGGCATGTCTGGAGAAGTTGTTCTAATGCTTTCTGATATCGTTTCTGCTGCCCTAATCTTCATGTTGTGTTTAGGTTTCCCAGGGACTCCAGGCCCACCTGGAGCTCCAGGAACTCCAGGTCACCCTGGTCTGGATGGACCTCCTGGACCACCTGGTCTCCCAGGACAGAAGGTCTGTGTTTTTGTTTACTATAAAACTTCCCTTAGAGGTGTTTCTGTGTCACTGGGAAGATGGTGAAGAGGATTTCACCTCTTATTCTCAGATTTTGATGGCGGGGAAGTAAAATATTTTACTTGATATTTTGAATGAGGGTAGTAAAATAGGAATTGAACTCTAAGATGGTGGCTATTTTTAATTATTACTTTTAACATTTTTACAGAGGCTGAACTTAGAAAATCTACTTTTAAATTTTTTTTGATCTGTTATAGGGAGATCGTGGATTTGGAGTTCCAGGACCACCTGGGCCCCCAGGACCCCCAGGCATAAAAGGAGTTCAAGGACCTAAAGGTGATCCTGGCTTCCCAGGAAACCCTGGTCTCCCTGGCCGAGCAGGCTTTGATGGAACCCCTGGGCCCAAAGGTATTGGGAACTCTCCCCTGTTTTGTTCCCTACTGAACTTTTAAAAATGTAGCTGTGCTGGGAAGCATATGGCAGTTAAATATAAGCAGTTCTGACTTTAGAGCCATTACTTCAAAATCAATTTTTCCTGTGTAAATGGAAGATTGTGTTCTCAAAAGGCAACTAAGGGAATAAATCCCAATCTGTGGGTTAGTACCTGAAGATCTGTTTTCTAAAGACAGATAATGTTTATATGGGGGTAAAACTTTATCAGTAGAATAATTTTAGATGCACTGTGCTTCCATATGCACAGAGTTAACAATTCATTTACCCTTGCTCTTGACCATAGTTTGAACTGACCTGCCAAGCATGCCTGGTTTGCTGGAGAGCATCCTTTGAATTTGATGTGGATGATGGTGCAATATGTGTGTGTGTAGCCTAGAAACATAAACTTCATGCAGTTCATGTTGAGTGGGGATAAATTTATGGCTTTGAGAAATAGCCTCTGGAGTGTGGTTTTTCCTCTGTTAGATCAATTTTTATTTGCATGCAAGGATGAGATTTCAAGTACAATGTGCAGGGACTCTGAAAGCAAATGTCTCTGAAATGGGTTCAGTATTTGATTAAATAAGAGTGTTCTTTTAGGTGACCCTGGACCAAGTGGACCACCAGGACTTCCAGGCCCACCAGGCATCCCTGGCATTGGTGGTCAAGGTCCTCCTGGATCTCCAGGACCTCCAGGTCCTGTTGGCCCCCCAGGTAAAACTTGCACAAATGGTTCCCATAGGTTATTTCTGGCATATGCAAGCAGATATACAAGATGCTGAAGGTTCAACTAGACAGATAGACAGTGATAAAATTAGGTGTATGTCTCTGAAGGGAGTTTAGTTGCCTTTTGTCTGAAATTACTGGTGAGTGATGAATATATGAACTTATTTCATCTCAGCACTGAAGAGTACATGTGCATGTATGTACATCATTCTATTCATAAAGTTTCTTCAGGGAAATTCCTTTTCCTTTAATTCAGTGAATGGGCTTGTTGTGCACAAACTCTTGATGCTGCAAATATGTGGCAGTCACCACAGTGAGAACACTTTCTGTGGTCTTCAGCATGCCTTGCACTGAAGCACTTCCAAACCCATCCAGTTTCTCCCATGACTGTAGAATGTTTGTGTTGCATGTCTATGTGCTACACTATTTGAATGTGTTTGTACATCAGCACTGGGCTTGGTATTGTTTGCAATGCATGCAGACAAAGTCATGGCCAGCTCTAAGACCATGGATCATGGATTGGTTGGTCATATTCAGATCTTTGTGAACTGTGAGCTGAGATTCAACAAGGTGCTGAACTTGAAGGTAGGCAAAAAGTTGAGTAAATAGACCCATGGAGCTTGAATTCTGCTCTCGTGCATAGTGTGGGTCATGTTTAAATCCATTCTTCCTGAGTGAGGCAGGAAATATGTGGTCAGGGCACCAGCAAGCCTTGATTGTGTTGAGTGTTGGGAGCTAGGGACAGAAGGGATTGGGACAAGGCACACAGTGGTCCCCTGGGGCCTGGCTTGCTGTGCTTACTGTAGGGTCCCAAGCTGCACTGGAGAATAAACTGAAAAAGAAGGGCAACACAGGCCTAGTTTTGGGGTGAGGGGGGGATGTATTACAGTGTGGGTTTGAATTTTTCATCCAGTGCAGGTTCTTTTGTCTTCCTGTAACATCTCCTCTGGTGCTAGTCAGAGTTTGATTTCATGCGATCACCAATTTATTCTGCAACATACTGATGTTGACAAATGCACAATGATTACTAGAGCTGATGGATTTGAAATGCCTCTATTTTCACTCTTCATGTCTGTACTGAATAATCATTGTGGCTATTAACAGCATGGGGTTCTGAAATCTGGTGCATGCTGAAAGGTCCCACTTGATAAATCCTTATTTCCTTTGGCACTGCTCTGTCTCAGTTTTGTGCAGTATGCCTTAAATTCCCTTCTTCCATCCCTTGTGTATTTTACTAGGCTGTTTTGATTCTGTTCCTTAATGCAGCATTAGGGTAAAGTTTCTGGGACTCTGGTTTTCAGGCAATTTGGAAAATTTTTGTAAGTCCCTGTCCAGAATTTACTTTCTCTGCACAACCTATTTATTACTATTTATTCAAATAGTTTGCAATAGCTCAACATTTTTTTTCTTTTTTGAATATGTAACAAATTACTTTAGAATTTACTTTGTTGTTTATATTGTTGTAATTATGGTGTGGCTACATTTTTGATACCAGAAATCTTCTATTTGAAAAAACATATTTACCATTTTAAGTGTGGAGTTTGTCCTATATATTATGTTCCTTTTTTTTTTTTTTTCTCCCTACTTGCTGATAGAAAGCCCTTGAACACAGAGCATGTGTATCCCCTGTCCATCATCTGGTACTGTTTTGGTTTTTATCTCTCCATAGCCACTCCAGGCACATGATACCACACTTTAAAGCAGTGATAAGCTGCTGCCAGGGGGAACATGCTTAGAATTTAATAAATGGAAGTCCACAGCTTACGCTATCAAGAAATTCAGTCTGCCTTTTCAGTGTGCAAAGAACAAACATCACTCCGAAACTTGTTCCTGCAGCTGAGAGTGGGGTCACCATTACAGAGTTGGAACACTGCTGCCTTGGGGTTATTTTATGAGGTTTTGGCATTGTACTGTCAATTATCTCAGACTGTGCCAGGGCATGCAACATGCAATATACCATCTGTGGGTGTAATAATGTACACTTACATAATAGAACTAAAAGAATGTGGGAAAATACTGAAAGTTTTTCTGTGTAATAAAGAAGGAACATCTTTTGAAAATACCTATTTGGGGCAATTTAACAGAATGTGAGGCCAATCAATGAGAAGCTGTTTGATAGGGTGTATTCTGGTGTTCAGAAGGGGTCCAAGCCAGTATCTAGAAATAAGAGTTTTGTAAGAAATGCATCAGAAAAAGCTTGTTCCCCACTTTTGTAGAGAATACTAGACAAGGAAGGAGGTGAAAAAAATTAAAAGTATCAATATTTGAAAATACCTGTGTTTGTGGTTTCTGTATACAGTGGTGGCTGCACTTTGAGAAAGATATCCAAGTTTCCTTGCAGTCTGGTTTCTCTTATCTGCATTGGCATTGAATTCTCTGTATTTTTATCTATTTTCAGTAACTTTAAATAGATTGTTTTGGGGGTTTTTTTGTCTTTAATCTATATGCACTTTATTTTGTTTCCTAACTTAATGACTATTACAACTGTTTACTGCTACCTGTCTCAGCTTCCCGATGAGCTCTAACTTGTCTTTTGAACCTCAGGTCCCCCAGGTACTGTGGTTTCTTTACCAAAGCCTTTTCTTAACTTGAGATTTACAAATTCTCCTTTTCGGTCAGCTAGCTTTCCAGAGTGAGCATCTTCACTGACCCTGTGCACTGGAGGGAAGTGAGCTGCCTGCTCGCTTCAGCAGTACCTCAAGCTCAGTGTCATTAGCATTGAACAATTTTAAGTATATTCTGACAATTGTTATTTTTCATTCAGGGAAAATACAATGCAGTGCAGAATTTTGCTGACCTTCAAAAATATTTAGCTTTTATTATCTTAAAACGTAGGAAGATGGAGTAATTAATGGAAATATATGAATCTGAATACCTAATTTTAAAATACAAACTAGTCTAATAATTTTGGCTTTTTATTTTAATAATCAGACTTAAAATGTTGTTGAAGAGAGATGTTTTCATTTTGAGATTTATTTGAATTGCATTTGCGCTGCATCTCTAGTAAAATTTTAGTCATGTTTCTCTTCAGGAGAATATGGCCTTCTAATGCTTGGAAGTCATTAAAAAATAAGTGGTTTTAGAAGAATTGCAGCGTTTTCATTAGTGCTAGGAGTGGATTGCAACTAAAACTATTCCTACAGTACTATACCCAGACACACAGATCTCAGCCTTGCCTGACTTTTTGCTAAAAGATTGTGTTTTAACAACATTGTCTAGGGTTGCAAGGCATTCCAGGGGAGAAAGGGGATCCAGGTCCTCCAGGCTTCGATATTCCTGGCCCTCCAGGTGACCAAGGAGCTCCGGGATATCCAGGACCCCCTGGAATACCAGGGCCTAAGGGTTCACCTGGGCCACCTGGCAGGGATGGAATACCTGGATTTCCAGGTAAGTTCATGTATTTTACCTGTGGAGAAAGACCAAACTGCAGTTACAGGTGTTAGCTCTTAATGCTTGGCCATGCCAGCTTAATACACTTAGGTGTTTATCCTACCTATTTAAAGTTGGATATATGTAATCATTACATCTCATACTTTTAAAAACAACAGAAACAAAATTTGTTGCATTAAAATCCTTGTTACCTTTTCACTCTTCCTTATAACTTGATTTAAATATTTCATACATTATTCTTTTTCATAACTTTCAGACATGGCTTTGATCATCATTGTTATGATATTTCTCTAATTTATTTTGTGATCTTTTTCCTAGTCATTGCTATAATTAAGAATAAAATTAGTTTAAAGAAAATAATGATAAATGCTACTTAGTTTTAAGTATTATTTTTCTTATACTGTTAGACTATTCAGTTAAGCTAGTCTGTTTTGCCCTTTGAAATAGAAATATTAAAAATTAATTTCAAGAATCTCTTGGATAGAGGGAGCAGTACAAAATATTCTAGAAGTAGTGTATACTTGTCTTTTTGCCTTTCACTAAATTCAAGTTTGTTCCAACTAGTATTTGTGTTTCAAACCAGAGAACTAAACCTCTTATGGATATAAACATGCTTTCTACCATAGCAGAGCAGTGCAAATTTTCTTCTCAGGACCAAATGGAAAAATTGCCACAATTTCAAGTGTCATTTTATCTGATTTTAATTTATACATTAAATGAGTTGTTGTAATTCCCTTGAAACAGACATGTGCTGGTTAATAAATACAATAGAGATCCAGGGAATCAAATTGAAGGTACCTGATAGGTTTTGAGTTTCTGTTTAGAATGACAATGTAGTTCAATGCTTTTAGGTGCCAAAGGTGAGATGGGCGTCATGGGAGCTCCTGGTCTTCCAGGGCCTCCAGGAACTCCTGGAAGAAATGGCCTGCCTGGCTTGAAAGGTAATGTTTGTTTTATTCACCCCTGAAAGGGATGCAGAATGTCTTTTCCCTTTCCTGTGTTGAAGGAGGTTTTGTAATACTAATATCTAGGTTTTAATTTCTGGGACCTGCATAAGTTATTGTCTTGTGACAGTGCTGATGTTCAGAATTGCTTTGCGTTTTTAAGCTATAACATTCAATCACTATTTAGTTGATGTCATGAATTGTTAACTACTTTAGAAACATTTCCTTCAAATCGATGGCATTGAAGTAGGGCAATATTTCTGAAGTGTGTTTTAAGTCTGCTTAAAACAGCAGGAAGAAGAAAATCAGTAGCTTAGGGATATGAAGTCATCAAGAATTAGCTATATAGGTATCACAGAGAGTCTCTTTTCTCTGCATTTTTCCAACCCCCTTGTTGGAGATGAATTTTGAAAGAGTTTGGTAGAAGAAAACCCAATTCACCTCTCCAGAACAAGGAGGCTCTGAATCCAAAGCTGTTGTAGCTGTTACTCCTTTGTCCCAGAGGCACAGCATGGTGGGGCTCTGGGAACTCTTGACGTGGGTCAGACAGGCACATCTGCTTCCTCTGCTGTCCAGAGCTGACAGACACCCTGCACACTCCATTCACTCAGCTTTGTTCCAGGGCTAAAGATGCTGTGGAGCACCTTCCAATAAATTGCCTGGTCACTTGGTGAATTCCAACATCATGAATAAATCATGGAATTCCTATGTAAGAAAAAGCATGACAAATACATTAGCCTACCTTAAGGATTTATTTTTTTTTTTCATTTTGTTGGCTGTACCTACTGTAGGTAATAGTGGATTACCTGGTCCACCAGGGCCTCCTGGACCAATGGGGCAGAAAGGCGTCAAAGGTGAAGCAGGTCTGCCAGGTCCACCCGGAACAATTGATCCCAAACAGCTGGGAGCAAAAGGAGAAAAAGGCGAGCCAGGTGTTCCAGGTAAAGAACTTTGCATGTGGATATGGGGAGGTGGTTTGTCCTCTACACATAGTAGTGAGCTGTGACTGAATCCATTACTGTTCATTCATTCTTACAGAAAAAAATTAACTTGGAATATAGATGTGGTTTAAGGGCCTTGTATTTAGGCTTTTTTTAAAGACATTTTGTGACCAAGTTCCTCTTAATGATTAGTTTTCAATGTCCTCACTCATTAGCTGTTACTATTATTTAGCGTGTGGCAATTTTGTAATAGCACTAAGATGCATTCAGCAGGATTACAATTCAATCTTCTAGGAGTTATTCCTAAGCATGATGAGAAAGTTGTCATAGCTGCTGGGCTGGCTGCATTCCTGCTGTTCCAAAGGCCCTTGGGTCTTTGCCATATGGGATGAAATTGCTCAGGTCATCTGCTCATGCACCATCTCTGTATTCTCCCTTTGGGTGTCTCTCTGTACCACCTGTGAACTATATGTCATCTCTGTGTGTGTTTCTGCTTGGGAAGCTGGCAGCCTGGAGATATTTCTCAAGTCTGTGCTCTCTCACTCTTGCTGGCTTCCTCTCCAGCCCTCATTCCTAATCCCCCACCAAGAGTTCTGATGTCTCCTTTGAACTCTAATTTAGTGTTTAGAAGAGTAAAAACTATTCTACCCTCAAGAGAGCCAAAATGCTTTTCCCTAATGTCGTCCCAGCCATTATTGTGCTAATTTACCTATTGTATAAATTTCTTGCAAGCCTAGATAGGATCCTAAGACACTATTTTTCTTCTTCTGTGAAAGGAAGGTTTAACTATGTCAGCAGGACAACACAAAGTTCTTATGGGATAACAGCCACATAGAATTTGTAAAAGTCTGCTGAAACACCTGCATTAATTTTTATAATGTATTACTCCAAAAGTGATTTCGGTGTAGCAATATAATTTAACTAGAATATACATAATCTGGGTGAACGCAGAGGTTAGAATGCAGTCTGCTCATGCAGAACACGGCCCTTTGAATGAAGTATATTGCTGTTAGTCATTAAGTTATTTTTTTCTCTCCTTACTTATATTATTCCTGTTCTCTAGTAATTTTAAATTTTCCAGAGCAAATATTTTGTGTTCTCTGGTACTTTTCTTTGCTAAGGTAGGAGGAATTACATTTAGTGAAGAAAAATTTCTGCTTGGTTTTTTATTCACCGATAGCTACATCTGATCTTTTACGGTAAAAGAAAACATACAGTAGTAGTGATAGTAATAATAATAAAATGTGTCTTTTTCCCTTGAGGTATTCCTGGTTTATCAGGCCAGAAAGGTTATCAAGGTCTCCCAGGTGACCCAGGCCCACCAGGACTTCAGGGCCCACCAGGTGTGCCAGGATTGCCAGGTCAGTAAACAAGGCCTTAGCTGGACAGCTTTGATGCATAAAGATTTGCATGTGTTTTTATCACAAGGAGTTGGGATGTTAATCTACTTATATCTAAGCTAACCTTAGGGATTTGCACTGAAAACTGCAGCACAGTTTTGGAATATGTAAAGTCATTATCCAAACACATGCCCCTTCCTTCCTTCAACAGATCCAAGAGCAGTTTAAATTGTGTTTAACTGAGTTTAAAAATCAGTTTAAAATTATCCCAGTAAATATTAAGGTATCTTTTAGGATGACTGGAAAAGTACTTGCTGCTTGTGCAAGCAACATGACTGGAGAATTTGCCAATAGGACTTTCATTTCATATGTTCATTTTGTATATTGCTAAGCATTATATTTTGAAAATGGCCAAACTGATGTTTTGCAAAGGCTGTCTGGGTATCATATATTTGCTTTAAAGAATTGCAAAAAAGAAAACTAATTCTGTTTCACACCATTTCTCCCTACAGCTATAACAATTTATCTGCAATCTTCAGTCCTTGCTTGCTGTGTCTAATGTAGGGCTTGATCTAAATATTTTGTTGGGCTTGGGGAATATTGTTAACCACCGAAGACTCAGACTAGTTTGGGCATTGTAGGTTGCATTTAATTCTGTAATAGAAGCTGCTGAATACTTGTTGCACGTAAGAAAGAGATAATGTTTTCATTCTGCAGAGGAACACCTGAGAAACCATGTCACATCAGTACTGAATCCTTCCAATGGTGACTAAATTCGGGACTGAGATTTGATCTATTTCATTAGATTAATCTTCAAAACAAATAAGTAGTGGCCCTGTTCAAATCTTGGCTTGCAACAGACTGAAGGTGTTGAATATTTTAGCACAAGTAAGTTTGGAAAAGCAATATGAGGCCTAAAGGAACACCAAATCCATTGCTTGTAATCAAATAATAACCATGTTCATATGAGAGTGTATGGATATCAGAAACCTGTAATGATTGCCATTAATTAACTCAATCACACCTTTCCTAGGTACCAAGGGAGATACGGGGCTTCCTGGGCAGCCAGGACCAACAGGACCTCCAGGATTAAAAGGAGCTATGGGAGAGATGGGCCTTCCGGGTTAGTTTCTGTGCTTGAATTTTACTCCATTTGGGCCAATGTTTTCCTTTTATATACTCCAAAGATGACTCTGCTTGTGTCTAGTATGTAATAATAGCAATAAAGATGAGGATTGCATAAAGCCTTACATACATAATTGAGATTTTTAGGTAATTCTTTTAGTTTGGTTTTAAAAGTAAAAAAAAATATATATATTCAAAGCCAACCAGTCAAATTGTTAGGCCTTTCTTGTTTGGTTGCTGTACTTTGAATGATTTCTGTAAATTAATGCAGAATTTTTATTTATGTTTTTTTAAATTTCATTTTATCTTCTGGACAGGTGCGCCTGGGCTTAAAGGCAGCCAAGGAGTAGCAGGACGTCCGGGGCAGCCTGGGCCTGTGGGATTTCCTGGACTGAAAGGGGAGAAAGGTGATCCTGGTCTTTCAAGCATTGGTATCCATGGTCCCCCTGGACCAAAGGTATCTTTACAAAATTTTTCAACTGAAAATTCCATGAGGAAATTAGATTTTGTTGATTTTTCCCCCCCCAACTATTACTTAATATATATATTATGTATAACTGTAAATATGTATATAAATATATTAGTAAAAGACAGGGTTGACTTTTCATGTGAGATAAAAATTTATGATTTTAAAAGTGAAAATACTTATATATAACCTAATCAGTTTAAAGGGGAAGATTGTTTACCAGACTTTTCAAGTTGAGTTTGCTTAGTGGCCTTATCTTCGCTGTGACACTTTCCTAGTTGCTAGGGATTTATACAATTAATTTCATTGTCCCCCTGTCTAATTATGTAGTTAATTCCTAAAAAATTAAGATGTGCATTTAAGAAGAAATTACTAATATAGATGGTTACTGCTGCTTTAAATTTTAAAATCTGTATAAAGTGTTTGAATTAATATTTACCTATATCATCCTTTCTGCCACCCACAAAAAAAGTGACAAAAAGATCTTCAGAATGTCTAACAGTCTTCACTGATGCCTTGCAATTGATGTGCACAATTAACTTAGCAAAAACATTGTATGATTAAAGTTGCACTGGTTTCTTTTCTATTCTACATTACCGTGGGGTAAAAATCTCTGATCCTGCTGGAAGAAAGGAAGATACATTTTTCTTTAATGTCAGTTCTGAGGAAAAACTATGATACTGTACACAATTATAGGGGAAAACTGTTGAAGTCTTTACTATTGATGTTTTTCCTTAATTTTGTATTGACATGATTCACATTAACTGGGTATGAGGGGGGTATATACAATATACTTGTGACCTTGATGTGATGCTAGGATGGGGAACATACAGTAAGGGCTTTTGTATCTTAAAAAGTCTGGGTTCTTATTTCTGCTTAATGTTTTCTAGGGAGATCGTGGCTTGCCTGGATACCCAGGTAGTCCAGGCTCTAAAGGTATAGCTGGAAATCCTGGTTTGCCTGGATTTTCAGGCAGTCCAGGTGCAAAAGGAGAACCAGGCCTTCCTGGATTCCCAGGTAATTCTCAACAGATTTTTTTCATTTCCCCTCTTGCTAATATTGGCACAAACAGCTAAACACAGTGGGTAACTGGGGGAGACTCCAGCTTCTGAGTTTCTGGCAATCTGCTGCTTCTAAGCTTTGTGCTGTTGGAATTGTCACTGCAAAAGTGTGGGAATGCATCTCTTATGAGTGCCTTCTGGAATCATTCATCTGCTCTGAGGGGATGGAGCAGCAGTGTTAGTTAATACTCTACATAGCACTCCCTATTACCTCCTGTAACACCAAATATTTGGGTCAAAAAAAAAAAAGTATCCATATTTTTTCTTCAGGAATCAATAAAAAAGTGCCATCCCGGAAAACTTAGCACTTTTTTTCATAGCATTTATTGTCCAAAAAATGTGTTCTAAAGAGAAATCTCTGAAATATTTGATTAGGTTTTGGACTTTGTTCTTTAAAAAATATTAAAAGAGGTTGTTCACAGGTGTATGTCAGCTTTTTCATTCAAAATTTAAGGAAACAAAACTTTACCTCTGCTGCATTTACCGCACTAAAGGATGTTCTACAAATGTGCTTGAGCTGCTTTGATGTAGAAAATTATGGAATTTACAACTGTGGTTGTAACAACAAGAAGCTTAGAAGAAAACAAAACCTGACCATGAACCTGGCAATTTTTACCCTCTGCTTCATGTCATGCTTAAAAGACTGAACAGCCACAATGTGTACTGAGATACTACCTTGATCAGGCAGGCTTGGGTGCTGTTCAGAGCAGGCACTCTCTGCCTCCAGCTCATGGTGTAGGGGTCTCTCCCACTCAGCTCATGGTGTAGGGGTCAGAATCCAGCGTAAACTCTAGGACCATTTTTATTAAGTTCCTTTTTCAGGAAAGGAAAAGAGGATTGGGGAAGGACTATTCAATCCCAGTTCATAATGTTTTCAATTTGTTGTCAAGCAGAAACATAACTTTATAGCAGACTGCCAGAGTTGCTGTGTCTTTGGCCATGAACACTCAACAGTTAAGAGGAGGCTTGAGAGTAGCAGTACGGGCAGTTTTACCAGTATGTTTTGTTCCTGTACATTCTCTGTTTTATATTTTATCTCCTTGACCAGCTGTAAATCTGAAAAATGAGCATAAATACAGTATCTTTTACTCAGGGCATCTCAGATTGTAGCATTTCAAGATCTGCTGAAAAGTCAGTTTTGTTCATTATTTGACTGAAATGCCTGTGCTTTACAGGAACACCAGGAATTCCAGGACCAAAAGGTATTGAGGGCCCTCCAGGCACTCCTGGCCTGCCTGGACCACCTGGACCAGTAGGTGAGCATGGACAGTGTAGCAGAGATCAGCTGCTTCTGTGATAAACATAACACATGAAGGCACTTCCTTTCTTATCTTTTTAGCATCATGGAAATGAATCTTCATGTACATGGGTGCTCAGACACCATTGCATGCACTTAATTCACTGAAATTGAACAGTAAAGAAAGAAATTTTAGCTTTCTTTTGAGGATTTGTATTTGCTGTCCATTCATTAGCTGCTGAAAAAAAATTTAACTGTTTCAGTACTTACCAGCTTTATTTGTGCTAAGTATTACAGTGGTCTAACCTGTTTTTAGGAGCAAAATCCTAATTTATTCTAAAGAAAAGCATTGTATTTTTAGCAAACAGTGACTGCTTGAAAATTCACAGCCCTAAAAGCCTTTTCTAAATTGTCAGGGGAGAGAGAGAAAGGTTTAATTTTAAGATAACACCCCTGTAAATCTTTCATTGCGTTACCACACCTTTAGATTCAGATGGTGGTGAAGGGGATGCTGGTTTACTTTACTGTAATTCAGGCAAGCCTGTGCTAATGTGTTCTGTCCGTGTTATAGGTGATATTGGTCATCCTGGTCCTCCTGGTCCTTCAGGAGAAAAGGGACAACCTGGTCGAGATGGTATCCCTGGACCAGCGGGTCAGAAGGGTGAACCAGGTTAGGTGTCCCTCCTGTTTCTTTCCTCCTCTCCACTCTGCATTGACATGTCCTGCTTGCTCTAATCCTTCATTCCTGTAACTGCCCTTACACCTTCAAAGCCACTCCTGTGGTTCCTGGCTGCTGGGTGGCTCACAAAGGGGGCTGCCAAGCTGCCAGGGAAGCACAGGACAAGAATTCAGTCAGCTCTCCTGGATTTTATTACCTGGCTTTAACACCAGCCCCTGTTCCTGTACTTTATGGTAGCTTTATTGCTTCAGCTAAGTTTACACAGTGGATAAACAGTGTAATCCCTGCTACCAAGATAGATCTTCAAACGAAAATGCAAACACAGTGACTCCCAAAATCTAAAAGAGCATGGATTGTGAAGGGATGGAAACACTTAGGAAAGTTATAGATGCATTCAGTAGCAAAACCTCAACTTTGGGGAAGATGGTGAGTGAATGAGAATCCATGTAACCTCAAGGAATTATTTAGATGAACTGCACTTTCATTGTTCTAAACATCATATTCCCATTCCTGGAGACCTGAAAGCTAAATATTAATTTTTGTCTCAATCTATCTTTTTTTCAGGTCTACCAGGTTTTGGGCATCCAGGACCCCCAGGACTCCCAGGATTGTCAGGTAAAGCTTTTCTGTTGCCCTTTGTTAAAATGGTTCAATGTAAAATACATTTACACATTAAAAACAAGAAGGGTGTTCTATTTTCTGTAACAAATGAATGCTATAACTACAAGTCATTTTTCTTTTCCTCACCAGACTGTTTTAAATTAACCACAGCAATAAAGACATTTTATTACCTCTATATTTTGTAAATTAGCAATTATGCAGCCAGAATAAATGCACACAGAGCAATAGTCTACTGCATTGTGTGAAACTTCGCTGGTTTGTGTCAGTAAATAAAGTATTCATACAATAGATGACAAACTAAGCTGCTTTGAAAGTACAGGTACTTGGTACATTGCTCCTCTCTGGTAGCATTAAAGCTCCTAAATTACTCAGGTTTATTTGAAACTTTTGCAAGTATGTCTGAATTTTCAACAATATCTCAAAAAAAGGATGAAGTCTTAATACTGACAGGTTTCTTCACAGAAAGCCTTATTTGTAGGCTTACAGTCTCCAAGGATGTTAATGAATTACAGCATCACTGATTTAGTAAGACTTTTTAATGTTTTAAGCTATAGTGCTTTCTCCTGACAGAATTATTAGCCCTCACTCTTTTCTGAATGTTAGACAATTTTACACTGTCTCACTCTGCAAATAAGGGGAGTTGTGGCCAGACCTGTACTTTCTGCAAGAGAGAGAAATGGCTTTGCAAGCTGGCTTTTGGGCTTTATAGAAATTCATAACAGTATTCACAAAAATGGCCTTTTACAGGGCAAAAAGGAGAACTGGGGTTACCTGGCCCACCAGGACCCCCTGGACTTCCAGGTCTGAAGGGAGAACCAGGTTTCCAGGGATTCCCTGGTCTGCAGGGTCCACCAGGTCCACCAGGAATACCAGGGCCACCTCTGGAAGGTCCTAAGGGTAGCCCTGGCCCACCAGGTGTTCCAGGAAGGCCAGGTAAGAGCACAATCCATATCTGTGAACATCTGCCAGTACTTTGATATTTTGCTGGTAGGTCATCAGCCTTTAAATTGGCTCAGTTTATTTGGATGAATAAGGTCAAGCCTCATGGCATAGGTGCATGGGCAACCAGAGACTTTTGTTGCCAAAAAAAGCCAGCATCTATAAATAAACTAGCCTCAGTTTTTCTAAATTTCTGATGCCTGGCAGCAAAAATCAAACATATTCCCATGCGGGAGGTTCTCCGCATGCTGCCCCAATAATCACTTACAAGCACAATACAACCTCTGAGCATCTGAGACCTTTGCAGTATTGTTGCATGATCAGCAAATGTCACCACACACAAAAAACCAAAAGTAACAAACCCCATCATTCTAAGAGTCATGAAAATCAAATTCCAACTAGCATCCTAGCATGATCAGATTGGGTACTGCTCCTCATCTCCAAGCCATGTAACAAAAGTCATTGCTCCATTGTGCCACGTGGCTCCTGTGGACTCCATGCTCCATTGTGCTGTGCATCTTTACATTATATGTTTACATTTTATTCCTGTGCCAACTAATTCTGGGAATGAGAAAATGCTACATTGGGTTAACATTGCTGAGCAATTACCTGCCCTGTGTTAGAAATTGTTTTCTATTTTGTGTTATAGAATGTTTGCATTTAGATACTGTTATTCAAAAAATATAATTCAAATTAACCTGACACAGCTCCAGTTCAAGCTTATTCCTGGATCTTTAATTCAGAAGTACTTTGTTATGTCTAAGATTCATCTCGCATAATAGGCTTGATATTCTTCCTAAAGGAGACTGCTTTCAAACCAAGCCATTGGTTGATGACAGGGATTTTTTCTTTTACATAGTAATGGTGAAGTAATATTTTTATTTATTGCTCTCAAATTATTCTTTTATTTAAAGACTTTTCTGAGGAAAGTTAGCTTTGAATTAGTACATTTGTAAAATAGCTGCAACACAGATATTGTTGATTTTTGGATATCAAGAGAGAGTTTAGCTTTGCAGCATACACTTGGAAAGATTTAAAGGTTTGCTTTTTCAACATGCTTGCTTCTGACTCAAGAGGAGGCAGTCACACTGAATAATGTTTTTTTGAATGGAATTTTATCAAAAATATTTTCCCTAGAGCTGGAATTGAATTGTATGTTATTATCAATGGTAATATGAGTTTTTTCTTTTGCAGAATAGGCTATGAACTCATATACCCTAACTATAACTTAACTGGGCATTTAAAAAATGAGTCATAAACATTTGGTTTTAATCCACAGTACCTTAGAACTGGGGTGCTCTTTGCCAGTATAATGAGGTTTTCTTTTAGTCCCAGTATAACTACTTCCATTGTGTTTCATCCTAAACCTGCTTTGCGTGTGACTGATGTGGAGCAACCACCTTATGGGTTAATAATCCCCAGCCAATCACAGTGTCTTCCTGGTTTCCTATTTGGTTAGTGGAATGAGGAGTTTGTGCCTCCCCACTTTTTCCCGGAGGAACTGACTCCCTGCTGTGCCCCAGAGGCTCTAACCAGGCAGTAGAACATCCCTACAGCATATTTGTAGCCCAGTTTGCTTTTGATTTTCTGTTAATTCTTCTGCATATAGAGTAGTGCAGCAATTAAAATTTTGGCCCAGGACAGTGATTGGTTCATAACAATATAGGCTTTAATTTTTAAAAGTTTCTTATACAGAGGATATCTCCAAACTTTAAAGAAGTCTTTAAAAGTAAACCAGGCTAAACAACCTCTGAGGTATAATAAAAGTACCAACTGAGATTTTCTGCTCTGCTGTAGCATTGGGGTTTTATGGAGCTGCTCATCCTGTTCACACTTCCCTATTTAAATGAAGTGTTTACTGATTCTGATCAGCTGGGAAGGTGGAACAATGGTGAGACTCATTTTGTGCAGGTTTATGAGCAGGGGAAACAACCAGTGAGGTTCTGTTCAGCCATGTTCTCTCTCTCTTTCTTTCTCTTCCATTTTTGTTGCATGCAATGTATAAAGTGGAGCATTTGCTTTGCTCAGTTATGTGTGAACTAATGTGGATAAACCAAACTATTATTGCAGTTCTGGTACAATCAGCACTCCAGCCTTTTGTTTCCAAGGATAACAGAATCTATTGTTGGAATGCTGATTTTGTAACATTTCAACATAGGGCATAAAACTCATAAAGCAGCTGTATGGATGTCAAATTACCCCTTCTAGGGACAGAAACAAAACCAGAAGCTGTTTGCATATACTGTTTGTTGTTGACTTCTGGGTATATTCTAAGATTAGTAAAAGAGATGAAGTCAAACATGATGTAGCTCTCTGACTCCAGTTGAGTTACCCCTAAAATAAACATTGATAGATAGTGTTGGGATATATTTATTAATTCATCATAAAATTAAGCCAATTTCCAGGGCAGTGGAACACTGCTGTTACTTCACATGTCTGTCTTCCTTGCTATGAATGATAATAGTTTGGTATTTTGCATACTGTATGTAAAAGAATATTGAGCTAAATCTAAAAAGAAAGGTTTAGTTGAATATGTTAGTTTGTTGATATTTCTAACAATTTTGATGTTTTTCCCCCTTGTTCTAATGATGACCTTGGTGAATTCTGACCCCCTACTCCCAGGTCCCTCAGGTTAGCCCTGTAACTCCAAAATAATAACTTTGCATGAAAATGAATGTATTACTTTTGTAGAGTCTAAATGGAGATATACGGAGTCATGTTTCAGACACACCTTTTAATTTGTGGTGAGAAAAAAATGCTCAGAATTGGCTTTCAGCCATCTTTTCCATGTTGTTGTGGACTGACATTGGAAGGACACAGTTGCTCTGCCATGGTGGAAGACCATGTGGGTCTACATTTGCAAGGCTTTTATAAAATATCCCCAGCTGTGAAACTTGTTTTAGCATTCCTTTTCCTCAGTGCAGTTGGAAACAATATATTCTGATTTTCAGCTTTTTTTTAAAAAAGCACATTGCGCTGTCCTCCCATGCCTTGCTGCATAATTGTGTGTTGCAGCTTGGGCAAGTGACAGTAGTCATTTTTGTAGCACCTGCTACTGTTGATTTTGGACACTCTCAAGTGACTTAAATAAATTAGATGCTTTTTTTATACCAGCAGCATCTGTAGGAAAATTTATTTAGACTAACAGTGATGCTTTAGATTCCCAACTTAGAGCCTTTTAAGTTTTCAGTGCAGAGAAATCCTTATTTCCATTGTTTTGCTTCACCAGCCTGTTTAGAGGAAATGAGGAATGTTCTTCCTTTCACAAGTATTCAATGAAAGTAAGACTCACAGCTGTGACCTCCCTGGCACTAGGGCAGTAGGACAGAATTGTTGAGAACATAGTCATTTCCAAATGTTTATTGTAATTTTAGTGTATCAGCATAGAGCATAAACTGGCACTTGGGAAGTGACAATTTTGACAATTGCCACAGCGACATCTGTGTCTAGACTGAAAATGGCTTGGTATATCTATTTAATAATAATTATGCCTTTAGGTTTTGCTATGATGACTTTCAGGCGGTAAAGAACTGTTATGAAAATTTAATAAAGGAATACATTTTAGTTTTCAGCCTGCTGTCCTAAGCACCACGACGTAGCAAATGTGGTATCCCTGATGTTTGAATTGTATCTTTATGCAGCCATATCATAAAAAAAGGGGAATGTGGCTTTACTTCTAATTTGTGGTCACCCAAGCAGTAACCACACTTTTAAAGGGAATCATCATGGGCTGCTGAGAGGAACTGAGCAATTGCATCACATTTTGTTCCACCCTGTGACTGTGATCAGCCAGAATCCTACAGTGATGAACATGTGTAGGACTGATTTATAAATCATAGCAAAACTTACCTATCAGTGAAATATAGTTTGTAAGTACTTAACAGTAACAATGAAATGCCCATGCCATTATTTTTAACAACTGTATTACAGTTAGTATTTAAAATAATTTACCAAATATGTAAGAAATAGTGCTGATGTGTATTTATTGTAGTTTTTAGCTGCAAATTGCATGGTGATATGCTGATATATTTAAATTATTTCACTGACATGAAAGATGCAAAGTGGCACAGGAACTAAAATATGTATTAATTTAGTGGCATTGTAAGGACAACCAGCTCATTTGTTGAGAGAGGACATTTAAATAATTTTACTAAGGATATTATCACATGCCGTTCTCCATATAAACTTGAGCAGGTAAATTTTGAAATATTTTTATCAAGACAAAATAATGCCGACAGTAAAGACAACAAATTCTAAATTTGCAAGTTCTGCTGTATTTTTGCTTACAGCATTTGCAGCCCTGTTGATCCATGTCAATCCTGCTTACAGTTTCAAAGAAGCTGTAAGCCTACTTTTCAGTCCTGCAATTGTATTCACAGATAGTTGAGGCTCATACCTGATTAGTGGTGATAAGTCCTTCTGTTAGTCACACTTCCCTCCTGCCCAAAGCAGAATTTTGCACAAGAGTAAGTTGTAATTCACAATTTACCTATTTGCCAAGCTCTGGGCCCTGTGAGGCTGAATATTGTCAGTGAAATGATTACATAGCCCAAACCCTACTGTAAGCAGGAATAACCAGTTATAGATCTTAGCTGTAAGGTTAAAGCAATAACACATTCTCTAGTGAAGCTTTAAGTTTGCTGTTAAATGAAGTGTTAAATTAGTTTCAGTAGTGCCTAGTCACCAGAATAACTTGTATATGAAAATATCTATGACTGTGTATTCATGTGTGGTTTTATGCATGCATGTGGATTATACTGTAAATACAAAACATGCTGGTGAAATGGGTTGTTGTGTAGTGTATATGCTGTCATCTGTACTATTTCTAACTAGTAATCTTGTTTTGTACTGTTTGATGTCTGACCCTTCTAACATCGATCATTGGGCTTTGGTGAACTCTGATCCTTCCAGGTCCTCCAGGTTAGACTCTTAACTCGGGCAATTTGTTTTACTGCATTGCACTTGATGTAAGAGAAACAGATGTTTTCCTGTGATTGTCTTTTTAAGGGCTGTGGTTACTCTGCAGACTGTATGTGTTTGATTAGCATGCCCCAGATGGTAATTTGGTATTATTTTGCATGTGTACAGTACTAGACCAATACTAAAGAGCAAAATGAACACAAAAAATCTTTGCATGATGGTGATGGCATGTTTTCTGTAGCTGAAACTGCTACAGGATATGTGTGGTACAAAATTGCTGTTAATTTAAAAAGGGAAGGAATTTATATTCAATTTTGCATGCAGAAATACAAATCATCAAATTTATCCATTGGGTATACACTATGAGGATGTCAAAGGAGTTGTTAAGTTATTCAAGGTTGCAGGAGAACTGAAAATCCAGCACACTGATAAATGTTGTTAGATTTGTACTACAGGAGACAATGTCATAGCACCGTCCTGCAAAAAAAATCCTTTTGTTAATCCAGTTATGAGCTCTTAACTTGTAAATTGTTATTAGCTGTCTCTGCACTTGCTTATGGTTTATTTTGCCACAAATTAATACTGGTTACCTTCCATTTATATAGTGGGACAAAAGTGAAGGTCTCATCTTTCAGTTCTCCAGATACTGAAGTTCCTTTTATACCCACTACTTTACCTTGGATTAACCTGGCTATAGCAAAGGCAAAATATTTAAGGACCAGCCCAGTTTCTCTATTAGATTTACATAGTGTAATTTCACTCAAGATTAAAAAAAATCAGTTGGAGGGAGAGTCATTCAACATAAGGAAGTTTCTGCAACTCAGGTTGTTATGTAGGCAAGGCAGAATGACAAGCTTCCTGCTACCCAGCAGTCAGGAGACAGTGTGTTCCTTAATAGGTATGTCAAATTCTAACAAGAGAGCAGCACTACAGTGTTTACACTGTACTGTAAGTGTTGAGACTAGCTTACAAAACGAATTCAGGCTATTAAGAAGCACTGAAGACATGGTGAATGTAATGCAGATCTGCAGAGGGGATATTTGTACCATCTAATTTTGGGGGTTTTGGCTCCTAGTAAATGCACTGGTCTGATCACCAGTAAGCTGCTAATGCAGGTGAGATGCACTGCCTTCTGGAAAGACCTGCTTCATCAGCTAGATAAGGGGCCTTGGTTCCTGATTTGGGTAGTACAAGTATTTCTTTTTATTTGTGTTCCTTTCAGTTTACCCTGAATTTAGCATTGAAATAGAGCTGGGAAGTTAAGCCAAAATGCCTTTTTTTTTCTTTTTTTTTTCTTTTTTTTTCCTTTTTTTTTTAAACACTGAAGGTACAAACTTGGGGAGAATGAATGATATATACTGATGTGTGCGTATTTTTTCTGCAATGTTAAGGTCCACCAGGCCCAGAAGGTCCACGAGGGCCACCAGGCAGTGGAGGACTTAAAGGAGAAAAAGGGAACCCAGGTCCACCTGGTCCAGCTGGCCTGATTGGTCCAAAGGGAGATCAAGGACCACCTGGACGCCAGGTAGGACAAGAAATGGAGTTTTCCCCTAGTTAATTTTTAAATCCAATAAAAATTGAAGATATTTGGGTGGAACATGCAGTTTAACATAATAAAATAAAAGACAAAATGTGGTAGCTAATACCCTGTCTTGTATTAAGGAAGAGGTTCTTTTCCTTAGCTATCCCCCAGTATCTAGGCAGGATGTCCCTCCTATATTCCCATGGGAGCTGGAGCTGTTGATGCAGCTGTGTGCCCACTCTGACAGCCCCCCATGGCCTCAGCCCTCCACAGCTCCCAGTGTGTTTGGTTGTCTTTGGCCATCTGTTCCGTTCTGGTTCTCTGGAACTGCTGAGATGAGGGAATAATGTGAGGCTCTTCTCTTCAGGGGGATCCTGGTCGTCCAGGTCTGAATGGAATGAAGGGTGACCCCGGGGTTCCAGGCGTTCCAGGATTCCCAGGTATTTCACTGGGTATTCCCAGGTATTTAACTAGCATTTTGAGCAAAATCCTCCAGACACAGTAACAGCCTGTTTAGGCCATTCCTGCAGCAGACTTCGTAAAACAGCATGTTCTTTCATTGGGTAACTGTGTGAATTTGATGTTTCAGGTATGAAGGGTCCCACTGGACCTGCAGGACCTGCTGGCCTCACAGGCAGCCAGGGACTGCCGGGCCCACCAGGTAGGAGTCCTGGGTAGGGGCACTGTCACTTTTACTCCCTGTCGGTAGAATTTGTTACATAAATGTAGGACTTAGTTGGTCTCAGCCAGTAGTCAAAGTGAAGTGAACACGATCTTCCACACAATTCCAACCTGCACTTTTTAGCCCCTACAAGTAATTCTAATATGTTTAATACTCTGTATCCAGTCTATATGGATTAACTCCTGTGAGAGGGGTCTTTAGAGGGAGTCACCAAGAGCACTTTTTTATCCTATATTTACACTTACTCTTTTTTGCAATGATGGAGCTCTTGGCATCTGATTTTGAAATAAACTCTTTCTAATGCTGTCTTCCACCTTGGTTTATCTAATACTAATCTTCCTTCTCTCAGGTCCACCAGGTTTACCAGGTACCATTGGACGAAGCATTGTTGTCAAAGGTGATCCTGGTTCCCCAGGTCCTCCAGGACAGCCTGGGTCCAAAGGGCCACCTGGATTGCCAGGGCCACAGGGATTGCCAGGTATGATCCAAGGTGGCTGCAGAGGTCCAAAAGTGTATCTGTGTGCAGATGGCAGTGCCAGTGACATGGCACAGGCTGCAGAGATGAGTTACTGAGCTCAGCAAGGGGCAAGAGAGAAATGTGGGTTAATAGCTAATAGATAAACACAGGATTCCACCATATACATCTGGTTTAATGGGCTGTTTTTCTCTTATGTATCAGAAGGAAGCAACAGGTGAGTCACTGACAACTTGAAGATTCCTGTAGTGAGATTTCAAGAACTTTTATTTCAGTTACGTTTTTGTGTGTTCTAGGTCCAATTGGTCTTCCTGGTGACCCAGGGAGAGATGGGCTTCCTGGTTTTGATGGTCCAGCAGGACGAAAAGGAGAGAGAGGTCTTCCAGGCCAACCAGGTATGGTGTTTATGCTATGAAAACTTACTGGAAAAAGAGACTCCCATTTCTGAATGGAGGCTAATACTGGAAGTAAGATTTTTGCTTTATAGGAATAATGATAAAATCATAATTCTAGGATTTTCTTAATGCAAAAGTATTACAAGCACCTGAACATACTTTGATTTGGAATATTCTCAGCACCAACACATTGCTGGTTGTTGCTGAATAACATTGTCAAGTGCTGTACCCCAAGCTTAATGGCATCCTCTTTGCAGCACAGATGATGCAGAGGAGATAATGAAGATTTTAAGAAACTGAAGAGAGATTTGTAAAATAATGTTTATTTTGCATGGGAATTATGAATGGGGAAAAACAGACTTCATAAAAGAGTTTCACCAAAGTCAGAGATTGGACTACCATGTGTAGGGATTGCTTAGCATGACTGAACTAGGATTTGAGAAATCAGACTAGGCACTGGGACAATTTTCTAAATGTGATAGATATTAAGTGGCTTTCTACTGCAACTTGTGAGAAAAAGGATTAGAATTAAAACAGATAAAAAGAATACAAAAGTCCATAACACCTCTTTTTTCTTTTTCTCTGAGCAGCTCTATTAAATCTGTTAGTATTATTTTAGAGAAAAAAATGTAAATAATGACTGCAGAATAACATAGTCTAAATATTTGTAGTTCTATTTCCTAATATTGCTGTTCAAGAACAGCCTTTTCTGATACATTTCTCAGTCATTTGAGTGATTTTTGCTCACATTCAAGGCTGTTCTAGCTTATTTCCATTTTTAGTAACCTATTCTAAAACTGGCAGCAGCTTTTCTATTCATTTTGATGGGCTCTGGTTGAGGTGTTAACACAGCATGTCCTGGAGTGAGACTTGCTGCTATTTCTGGCTCTTCCATTTATTTTGTGATCTTGAGCAAGATATTTCAACATTGTCTTAAGCTGCACATGCAGATACGTTTTGGAAGTGGGAAGCTGACTGAAGTAATTCCAGTGGCTGCCATGTATTATGCAGTTATCATAGTGCCTGACAGTCCTGAGAGTATTTAGCAATACCCCTACAACACAGAGAAGTTCCAGTTTTACAGCCACCTATGACAATCTCCCTGATTCAGCCAAGCTTAAATGAAAACAAAATCCAGGAAGAGAGGGTTAACTGAGTTAACACAGTTAACAAATACCAGCTGCCCTAACACACAAGCACTCAATCACGAGACCAACAACTTTTCAGAGCTATGTTGGTCCCAAAAGATCAAGCAATGTTGTTAATTAATACTGTGTGTTGTGTTTCTCTCATGTGAACAGGTTCACGAGGAATACAAGGACCTCCTGGTCCTGATGGCTTACAAGGCCCACCTGGTCCTCCTGGCACACCTTCTCTTGCTCATGGATTCCTTATAACTCGGCACAGCCAGACCAGCGATACACCACTATGCCCACAGGGGACATCAAGAATTTATGATGGATTCTCTCTTCTATATGTGCAAGGAAATGAGAGAGCACACGGCCAGGATTTGGGTGAGATATTCTGTATGCTCTCTCTTTAAGAGGAAACATGTCATAGCTACTTCAAATGCTTGGGTTCTCTGATGATACAGCAGTCTTGGAGATTTCATAGATGAGGATGGGGATCGTTTACCAAGATCTGCTAGATCTTGAGATGTGCAGAGGATGCATGTTGTAATTCAGGATGAAAGAATGTAAACCAAAATGAAGAAGTGAAGTTTTTCCCCAAGGTGACAATCTGATAGCACTTGCTGTGCACTAACAGGAGGAAAAGGAAGGATCCACAAGTACTGTTCTCAAAGAATTGCTATAAAAAGCAATGAAGTGAAACTTTGCTGTCTTATGTGCCTTACTGCCTAGGTACTGCTGGGAGCTGTCTTAGACGTTTCAGCACCATGCCCTTCATGTTCTGCAACATCAACAATGTTTGTAACTTTGCATCAAGGAATGACTATTCCTACTGGCTGTCAACCCCGGAGTCGATGCCAATGAGCATGGAGCCACTGACTGGGCAAAGCATCCAGCCATTCATTAGCCGGTGAGGCAAAGCAGGCCATCACGTCTCTTTTAATATCTGGATAAATAGTACATCTTACCCATGTGTTTCAAATATACAGGTTGAGTATTAAGAGATTAATCTGTCATGTTTTGTTCTGGGAGTAACTAGACAAATAGTTTGTTTTAAAGTATTAATTGTCTCCTGAGGTTCATCTCCCTGCAGCAGTGATAAGAGGCTGTAAAAGCTCTTCTCAAACAATCAGTCTCTGTAGTCAGCAGTGCAACATCACCATGGACAGGACAGAATATGAGAGCCATTGGCTTTAGGATTAAGGCACTCACCTGGGGACTTCTGAGCTTCCAGTTTTTGTTTCAGGAACTGCTTCAGTATTTTACCCAATGTAGTAAAAATACAGACAGATTTGAGCTCCAAAATATTCTTTATTGCAGTTACAAAATATATGAGAAATAGAAGTCTAGATTAATAGGCAAGCTGCTCACAGGTGAGTTTTTTTCCCTTTTTCAGTGTAAGAATTCTTAATAAAACATACTCCTATTATATTTTAACATCACTTGTTTCTCCGGTACTTCCCCTGTGTCCAGATGTGTTGTGTGTGAAGCTCCTGCTATGGTGATAGCTGTCCACAGTCAGACCATTCAGATCCCTTCATGTCCTCCAGGCTGGGACTCCCTCTGGATTGGCTACTCTTTCATGATGGTAAGAACTTCCTCCTACTCCAGAAGCAGCTACTGCCCACCTGTGTCCTCAGCTGCTTTAGGACATTGATAAGAACTGCAAGGGTTGTCATTTTAAAGCTCTTACCTTCAATCACTAACCAAGGTAGCCAAGATTTACAGTACAAAGATCCCAGCATCACAATGTTTATGGAGGTGTCTGACACCACATTATCTCTGTTGAGAATGAAGAGTGACTTTTCAGTAGTTGACTGCTGCGCTATTCAATTTTTAACACCTAAGATCCTTGTTTGTCTTTCTTTCCTCCACTAGCACACGAGTGCTGGAGCAGAGGGCTCTGGACAGGCCTTGGCATCGCCTGGATCCTGTTTGGAAGAATTCCGCTCAGCACCGTTCATCGAATGCCATGGTCGGGGCACCTGTAATTATTATGCCAATTCATACAGTTTCTGGCTGGCAACTGTTGAGGTCTCAGAAATGTTCAGGTAAGAAAACCTGTTTCTTGTCTATTGCTCTATTCCAGAATGAATGCTTTTGAAACTGAATTTATTCCAAAGATCTGAAGAGATTTGTTTACAGGGGTATACAGAAATAATTTAGCTTGTTTTCCCCCTCACAACCAGTTTTTCAAGTGTTTCTCTGGTATGCTTTTAATATTATGTAAAAACTTGCTAGGGCACATTCTGTTTTGCAAAGAGCCAGATTCTTTTTTTGTCAATTCTTAGTCACGTTCTGTTTAGTACCTCCTCTGGCAGTAGTCCTACTGTGTTTACTATATTTGAAGCCCGAAAGAACAATTTTCATTTTTTTTCTTGGCAAACCTTTCAATAAACTCATATTTGGAAAGGTAGCTCACAGATATACAAGGGATAAGAGTGAAGGGCAAGACAAACTCTACTTAACCTTTTAACACAAAGGTTCATATGACTTGTTTTTAAAAATCTTGTATGAAGGTTTCCTACCCTCCATGGCCAGCATTTTCTTCCACACTTCACAGAAGGAAACAGGGTAACATTTTGGCTGCAAGAAAGCCAGTGGCCATTCTGTCCTCAGCATCTCTGCAGTCAACATTTCAGCTGGAGTCTCTCAGCTTCTCCAACTTTTTCCCTTTCAAGTTGAGTAGCAAATTATTTCTTCACTGAAGAATCATCTCCTTTCATAGAATAAATAGCTACTGCCCTATTTGTGTGCTGACAAAAAACTATTAATATTCCCAGTGCTAACTAATTGAAAAGTGTAGCTTTGTGGCACAGGGCTGGTGCTATGCTCTGAGCAGTGGTATCCCCTAAGTTGATTTTGTGTAACGTCTACAATCAGGGTACTTGATGTGATAATTCATCACTCTTCTGTTTTCTGGGTAGTTAATTATTAGTAATTAACCAGTGAAAAACTTCCTATTAGTAATTGCCATGCACCCTTGAGATTTCTGCCTCTACTGTTTTCTCCCTCTCATTAAAACAACCTCCTTCTTCATTCTATTTTTTTAAAGAAACTTCTAGGCATTTGACTTATTTGTGTACACACATACGACATTAATAATCTCCCATCTTGTTATCCTTTCAAAATAAAAATAAATTCTTTGGTAAAGCTACCACTTAAACACAGCTCTGATTGTAGCAGTACTTACTGTGTGTTGTTAAAGTATCCTTCAACTAAGTAACCCAAAGGCCAGAAACAGAACCCCAAAATAGTCTCAACAATTCACCTTCCCCTCGGGTTGTGTTTGTGCTCCAGCACCTGCCTGACTGAAATAGATACTTAGCATACCTTGGGGACACTAAGACACTGACACAACTGAGAATCTGTCACCTGGTGCTGGGAACATGGGAACAAACAGAATGATTTGTCTTAGAAAAACATTCAAATTCAGGATTCATTCCCTGCTCACATACTTAAGTTTTGTATGAAACAGTGAATTCAGTAGAAGTTGAAAGGAACTGTAAAAAAGAAAAACCTAATCCAACCTTTCCTTTGTGTCTGTCAACCAGCAAACCTCAGTCAGAGACACTGAAAGCTGGAGACTTGAGGACACGTATTAGTCGTTGTCAAGTTTGCATGAAGAAGACGTAACATCTTGGACAATGTTTATAAAACAATTGAAATTTCCTAAGATGCACTGTCTTCCAGCTGCAACAATGGTGCTACTGTGCAGAAAGAAAAGAAAAAACTAATCCAAACTGTTTTAACCATGCAAATTCAAGTGTACCTCACTCATGTGCCAAAAACTAAGGGTTGTTCAGTACATATTTGACAACAGGACTAAGATGAAAGAATTGACCTCTTGGAAACAGAAAAGAACACACAAGGTTCACAAAGGACCAGAAGATGAAATTTTTCATTTCTCTCCCTGTACCAAAATGGCACCTTTTTGATCAACCAAGAGAATAGAGAACACGACGCACTGAGTATGTTTAAAATTACAAGACTGCAGTTTTGAAAAACATTTTTTCATGGTGCTACTAACCCTACTGTATTTTTAATATGAAATTTTAAGCTTATTTCTCTTTGTAAGTAATGAAATGTGTATATTGTGTAAACACCTTTTTAATCTAAACTTTCAGTCATCTAGAAACAAACCAGACTGATATAAAAATCCCTATGTCTAAAATAAAAGGATAAGACAGTATTTTATTATGAAACTTGTGATACAGAGACAGTTTACCCCTCTTATGCCAACTTTTTAATTTAGTTTTTCATTTCCTTCCTCAGCTGCCAACCTGATATATTTGCGGAATGCACAATTATTCTGAAGTAATTTTCATCAGGGTTTTAAATGTTGTACACCATAGTACCAATGGTTTTATTTGTGCTTAGAAATCCCAATCCACCTGAAAAGGGATTTTTTATTTTATGAAAATATATGAAATTATTAGTCATATTCTATAAGAATACAAGTCACATTCACATTTTAGTAATTAGTTTGGTTTAACCAAACCTGTCCTTCGGGACTATCCAGTTATCAAATCATTTAGAATGATGCTTACATGAAACTTCAACTTTGAAGTGGTGTCATATGTTTTATCCAAAATAGTATACATAACTTCTGAATAAAATAAAGCATAAACTGGTGGAAACCTTCATATTTACAAATTAGTCTTTTAATCTTACGTGGATTTATGTACATCCACAATGTATTCACAGTACATAGCAACTCTTGAGCAGGTATAGTTCACGCAAGTCCTTGAAAGATGGTGCATTCAGTCTTCCTGATGTCAGTTTGTAAGAATCCTTCTATGTACATCTAAAGTGTGTCACTACTTGGGCAATAGCTGAAAAGTGATCACTTTTGTATGCATGACTGTTCAGCTTCTATGGTCAGAGCATTTCATTTACCCTTGTGTGTAAACAGCTCCCTGACAATGCAGGACTCTGTCAAGTGACAATACTTTAATAGTTTTGTTGTATGATGCCACCTCAACTATCAATATAATTTACTTGTGAATTAATGTACTGCTCTATACAGGTGATGTGTATTTGTTTATTGAATACTGTTAAGTAATTTATCTGCTAATGGCTGTTCATTCTTACCTTCCAGTTATCCCTGTAAACATGGAGTATCTGACATCTTATTGTTTTACACATTTGACAAAAGACAGGACTGGTGACTAAGCAGGTGCCAGTGATATACAGTGAGATTGGTGCTGATTTCTAAAGCTTTCAACTAAGTATGAAACTGTAGTTCTTTAGTTTAAAGTGCAAAATAATAATAGCTTTGTCTTTTTTCCATTAGCTGCAGTTATATATGTTGGTAGAGAGTGGGAATTCAGCAGTGTGCAGCTCAGTTTAGTTTGGTTTGCTGATGCATGTAATAATAAACTGAACCTGCTGCTACCTCCAAGTCAGGAACTTGTTACCAAAGCTGAAATAAAATATTAAGTCTCTTCATGTAAACACAAGTCCTTATCTTGCTGCTGGCTCCACAGAAGTCTAAAATTAACACAGCAACCAGTCCCTAGCCCTAAAACAGTAGAAGAATGGATGCTAAGGCCAAGGAGCTCTCAAATGAAAGGGCTCTCCCAGCCTTCTCGACCAACACCCCATCTTGTGTTTGCCAACACTAAGTGTTCAGATGTGGGGACATGGGATAGAGTGGACCATGTTTAATAAAGCAGTGCATAACTGGTGCTTCTTTGTAAGATCTGGGCTTCTCTTGCAGCATGTAAAACCAAGACAGGAGATCCTATTCCAGACAGAGAACACCCAGACCTCCTGGTCTTGTAGCAGCTTCAGGGCCCAAAGTTGTGAGATGACCACAGAAAAGTAAAGTATGTAAAGCAGCTGTGCTTCTGCTTGATCCAATCTCTTTTGTGTCCCTGCAGCTCTGGCACTGACCTGGACAAGAGTCCCAAACCTTAATCAGCTACAGGCACAGAATTCCAAAGGGGTGATATTTTACTAAGAGAAAATTAGTCTAGACATGAAGGAACATCTTTTAATTTGAGATCTGCAGCAGAGATTCAAGAGGTGTTGGGTAAATTTCCACCACACCTTCTGTGCCTTACAGCACTTTACCTGTGCTGGATCAGACATACTGATCTATAAAAGAAAACACAGTTATTATTCTCTCCTGCTTCTTGATGCTTGAGACTGTAAGCTCCTTGGGGCAGAGACATTGAGGGGGCTCAAATGTTGGTTGGGGCCTCTAGGTGCTATCCATCACTATATAAACATTAAACTACAGGTAAACGTTTGTGTTTGCAGCTTTATTATTAAAAAAGGAAAACACTGCTTTGACCTTTGGAGCCTTAAAGTCATTTTCAACAACACCTAGCCACAGTGCAGCTCTGGACAACACTTCAGCTCTGGTTAAGGCTCTTTTCCTGATGTCTGGTATGTTTTTGCAAAAGCTTTTATTCTCATAACTAATCACATAGATTTGGGCTATTTTAGTTAATCTCAGCAGGCACCCGACAGGTCTGAGCTGTTGGGGACATGCCGCAGCCATCCAAGGGCACCGTGTGGCTTTGGCTGGAGCTGTGACAGCAGCACTGCCAGGTCGGGCCCTGCCTGGGGGAGAGAGGGCTGTAGGAAAGCTCAGCAGGAGCAGCATCCTCACCCTTCCTTGCCCATTACCTAGGCCCAGTTCTTGGAAGCTGCTGCAGGTGGGGCACTGTAAATTGCAACAAGAATGATGAGTGAAAAAGTGCAATTTTTCTAAAGGACAACTAGTTTTAATCCTAAAACCAGGATTTAGTAATCTTGTGCCTAGGCTGGATTTACACTGTTCTAGTGTTAAAAAACCAAAAAGGTTCTGCTTAAGGCAGACTTTTTTGTCCTTCTAGAAATCCTATTACAAAGAGGAAAAAACTTCTTTAAACATCATACTCATAAAATTTCTTCCAGAACTAGTACTTTTTTGACCACGAGACTTCCATATCCAGTCATGGACAAAGTCTGTAGCAATTTTTTTTCCATGTCTTCTACATTTAAAGCAGAAAAAGCTCTGGATGCTGATTTTTTTTTTTTTTTTCTTAAATTCCAAAGCTTAATTGTCTACAGGCACTGTGAATCCATGGCAAAGAAAACTTCTAGGCCTTTTTCTGTATGTTACCTTCTAGACTAAGTCAAAGAAAACTGGAGAGATGGGGAATTGCTAGCATGAAACAATGCTAAAAACTTCTCCAAATCTTTAGGGACACACAGGGTGACAAAACCACTTTCAGGATAAGCAGCAGGAGGTCTGACAGAAAAACCCAGAAGTTTGTTTAAAAATAAAACCCAGACACAGAGCTACATGAACACGTATTTACTGCAAGTAGCTCTATGGAAAGCCAAGTCAGATAAATATAAACACTATACAGAGCTTCAAGCCAGTCTCCCAAAACCGCAAACGCGATGTGTTTTACAAAGAAAACAACAGAACAATATTTACAATGGAAGACAAAGCTAGATCAATCAGCCCAACTTGAAAACAGATCTGTGGAGCAGAAATAGCAAATATAATAAACAGTTTCAACCATATATGTTTTAGTTTGTACAGACAGTAACTGTCCAATATCAAATTAAATTTACAGGACAAACATTGTTCTATCATTGGTATTTTTGTACTATACAGCAGCATAAACGGGTAGCTGGAAGATAGTATATATAGTGATATGTTTTACATCATCTGAAAATGTTCTTCCAGCACAATACTGAATAAATTAGGTGCTGTAAACTATGAGATTCAAAAAGATTGCATATTTATTATGCCGTACCTATTAGTACTTGTACAACTATACTTGAGGTTACCCATTTACTTATTTATTCAGCATGTATTACATCAGTGCTGTATATTGTACAATGGCAGCCTCAGGGAATCTAGTATGAAATAAGTATGTAACAAATTTCTTCAAAACAACCTTTTCCTTTCACATTAAATGTTTAGAACTATCTTCATCCAAGTTTTGATATCTTAGAAAAGATGTAAAGCTTTATAAAAACCTGTCTATGTATTGCATTATTCATTTATGAGACCAACCAACAGCTATATGGCAAGACAGTATCATGGTCTATAAGAGTGGTCGTGTTTTTAATTCATATATGTTTAGCAGCAAGTAATTGTACCAATTGAAACATCTCTTCCAGAATCAAAAACAGGTCTGTGCTTTTAAACCCTGCAGCAACAGTTTTTCCTGTCATTAGACACTGTGTAAACTGATTGGTACCATGTTTCCTAAAAAAAACAAAAACAAAACAATCACCTCCTATTTTAGTGACACGTACATTTTATTACTACGCAGAAGTAGATCTGGGTACACATCACTGAACAATTCAAGCTGACAGTGTCTAATTTGTTACACAAACTATACCAGCAATTTAAAGGTTGTTGGAGGTGAGGCAGCCTGGCACATCCATTGTACAATATACTTGTGGAGGATTCCCAGCTGTGTGGTGCAGTACAGCATGAGGATTTGTGTACCACTTTGAAACCCTTTCAGTGCCTTTTATATAATCCATTGCATGTACCAATGACTAGTGTCATGCTCTTTTAAATTCATAGCAGTCTTAAAAAGCTAAACTCATTTCAACCAAAATAAAATTCAGTACAAGAGTAAAGCACTTAAATTGTAGAAAAATCGGGGCTTATTTTAAAAATGTCAAATAGTCATTGTTCATGTTTCTGTCAGTGGGATAAAGACAATTGATAAGCCAGCATTTTACTTTTTTCCCCATTATGCCAGAAAGGAAGAACAAAAATAATCCCAAATTAAAAGTGGGACTTTTGTCGAACACATGATCAACTAGGGTGGTTTCCCTTTAAAAAGCTACAGCTGACAAGTCTAATGCAGAAGTCACAAACATTGGATACAACTCTGCAGTTCTCCATTTGAATCCATGAACAAAAACAATTTTACACAATTCATATTTATAAACAAGAACAAAAACAAACTACAAGACAAGCAGCCCATTAACCCTACTCTGTACATTCCAAAATTCTGAGCAAAAAAATTTCCATTTAAGCTCTGACAGACACTTGCTTTAAAAGCCTCTAGCCTATGCTCAAGAAATACCTCTTGTACCATAAAAGTAAAGCCTTAAAAAAAAAAAAAAAAGAAAAAGAAAAAAAAAGGCAGAAGTCGCTTTTCCTCAGACCCATCCAGTCCCACAGGTTCACCCCTCAAGCTAATGTACACCTCTACCTCTCCTTCTACCCAGTAACCTGGAAAAATCCTGTACTGCCCAAGTATTTCTAAGCAATACATGTTTTAAGCTAATCACTTGTTAATGTACCAGAGAAGTAAAACCCATGTTAAACAGACAATGAAAAACCAGCTTTGACTTATCAGAATATAATTTTTTCTTTAAAATTAACGAGAGGAAGGAAGAAGAAAGTGATATACAGGGATGTCCTATTAGCATTCACACTGCCTCCCAAATAGATATGACATGAAAGACCAAATTCCATCACCAAAGCACAGCTATGAAAAAAGGTCAATTCAAATTAATTCAATTGTAGAGAGCTGATTTCTATGAAAAAAATAATTAAAAGAATGTGTGTCTATGTCCGTGCTGGTGGAAATGAAAATAGCTGGCTGGAGCTGAGCTTTGCTTCCAAAAGCACCACACAGTTTCTGGAGTTACCAGCAAAGTCTTCTCTTCCAACAATGGTTTCCATGGCAATGCAATCAGTCTAGAAAGGAGGGGGGGAAAAAAAAGTCAGCGACATTTCAGATGCAAGTTATATCAGAAAAAATTGTTTTCTAGGGAGGAGAACACATGGAGCTTATCCACTGCAGGAATGAAAGCTGCTGACTGCAGAATGCAGGTCCCTTGAAGAGGGAGGGGACACTCCCAGATGCCAACCTTTCAGAGATCCTGAGGGAAGGAAGAACAATGCAGTCTGAAGCAAACACTGAAGAGCCACTGCAGCCAGAGTGACATGTGTACACTGGACAGGAACTGGGGCAGCAGCCAGCCCATCCTGCCAGTCCATGCTGAGGATGGACCAAGGCTCACAGCAGCCCACTCCACTGTGCCCCACTCCCTGCTGAGGTTGCACAGTGCAGGGAATTCCCAGCAGTGATGCTTACCAGGTGTGATGAAGGCAGCAGCCAACATTCCCACTCATCAGGGCAGAGCTGCAACACCAACACTCCCTGCACTTCCAGCTCCAAGCAAGGAGCAGCAAGTCATGACAGCTGTGTGCCCTGTCCTCAGCTTTTCAGGAAAAAGCTTTATTTAGTTGGAAACACCTCAGAGTACAGTCATGCCTTTTTGAAGAAAGTCTCAACTGAATGGCAACACCCAAGTATAAAAGCACACAGCTACAGCCAGCTCCCTTCTTCAGGGGCTTCAAACTGACTGGAAAAGGCAGAAGTCCAAGTGCTTGCTAAAATGAGGGGCAAAAAACATACTCTTATATTTCAGGAAGATACAGATGGATGACAAGGCAGAAATGAAAACAGGAGGGAGTCTGCCCTCAGAGCACAGTATCAGCCCTGCAATTAACCATACACATGCCAAGGTGAGAACAACTCAAGAGTTTCCTGACATGGAAGAAAAAGTGATGAAGGGCATGCAAATGCTTTCTGCAGTTGCATGAACACAAATGAGGAACATAAAAAGTCACTTTCCAGCTCTCTACAAAACCTCTTCCACTCCCAGCTGATCCAACGTGAACACTAATTTTCAGTCTGGAGGGCTACTGCCAAACCACCCAGTGACTCACACTGTCTCTAAGCTGAGACAGACTGTCCTCTTCCACCATTTTTATGCTCTCAGCCAAGACTGAGGGCACTGTCCTCTGCCAGGCAGGTGTCTTTGCTCACCTTCTCCAAGGTTTGAGATACGTACCTACAGGATGTTTCCTTGCAGTACAGCAAAGAAGGAAACAGCCTGTTGCTCTCATTGAGAAACAATGAGTGCAAGAGGTTTAGTCTTCAAAAAATAACAGGTACAGAAATGTCAGCTACTTTTTCCCTCAAAGCCACACAATGCCAGCTCTCTCCCTGTTATGGGAGCTGCCTGAGCTGCAATATGTGAACACTTCATTACACAGCACAGCAATGGCAGCACAGACCCCTAGAACAGAGTAAGGGGTTTCAGGGCTTAATCCTGCCCATGCTCTTCTAGTGGGTCACAAGGAAATCAGTTACATCTCACTGCTGAAGATCTCACAGTTCTTCCTTACCTCTACTCCAGAGATAAGCTAAAGATGACCATGTAAAGAATAAGCATTATGAGTAATAATGCAAACCTGTATGTTTACTTACAAACCAATCATGAGGTACGCACACACAAACTCCACCCTGTGCTAAAGAACTTATGATTTCTGTCCAGCTAAAAGTACTGCCCCCGCAAGAGAATAAAGAAAAAAAAAAATAGAAAAAGGACCAGAGTTCAGCTGAGCAGCCCTGCCCCATCCCAGCACTCAGCAAAGGTTGCCCATGGCTCCAGAGACAGAGAGACAAAGGGAATGGCAGGGTTGGTAGCAGCATGGAAGAATAGAGGGGTCCCTTCTGCTTCAGGAGAAACACTCTTTTAACCCTACATAGCCCTCATCAAGGTCCAGGTTCCTGTGTTTCATTTTTCAAATATTTCAGTGATTTCAAAAATACTGTAACTTAGTTTTCCTCAACTGAAGGAAGAAACAGTCAAAATACACCCACAACTTGAGAATCTCTATTTGTGTTATGTCGCACTATATTAGAAACAGCGAGTATGACATGACTCTCTTAGCTGTGTTGTCCAAGACAGCGAAGTTTATTGCTCTTGATCTTCTTTTATAGACAGGTTCGAGAAAATCTGAGAGGTAAAACTCCCATTGGTCATTAAAGCAACACATCACCACCACTGGTTAAGTGGAACACCACCCCTTGACTGTTTTCCTAAACACCACCTGCAAAGATTGTTGTCCTTTACCAAGGACTGTTTGGATTCTTTCTTACATTTTCTCCCTTTTCTCCGGCCAGAGTGAGAAGCCTGTGTAACTTAGTTTCATACAGGCTCTGTTCCCTGCTTGCTTTTTGCATCCACGGTGTTATTTCAGATATCATAAGATCACTACAAAAAGCTATTGCTTGGTACACAGAGTGTGATGTGGCCAGCGAAAGCTTTGTTTTTACAAAAGCCAACTGAAGCTATTATTTCTGAAATAATTTTCCTCTTTAAAAAATATTGTTTTGTTGTAAGACCAAAGGACGAAAATAGGCACCACAGCTTGCAATGAATCACACCTTAGTGATGCATGCAAGTCAAACATTAAAACAGTTAAAGCTTCTATATTAAACTTACACTCAATAAAAATTAACTTTACCAGCATCCCCCCACTCTTTCCTTGCTGTGGACCTGTAAGCTCACATAAAAGGAACTTCAAAAACTGTCTCTGCTTTTGTCAGGACATTTTTCCTCAATGCCTCACACATAAGGCACACCTGAAAGCTGTTTGACAAGTTATTTTCATCTCTCCAAGGCATCCCAAAATATTTGGAAGAGCAGAGGCCCACTTGCTTGAATCAGACAATCCCAAATGGCAGAACTCAGTATTTACACCTAAAATGTTTTGAAAATTTTCATAAACTAATGCCAAATTACATTTAAGATATTTGGAGAGGAAGGGGAAAGGCTTAAGAGCAAAAAAACCCCAAGCCTGCTTATGTCTTAAGTTTAATTCTCTGAAGCAGCCTGATGTACTCAGGCAGCAGCATGGCAACCAATTCTAAAGCAAGAGCATCAGATAATTCTGGGCAGAACCCCAAACAGCACAGATTAATTTATCAGAAACCAGAAGAAAGCCTGGGACCTCCCTGCAGCATCTCCCCTTCCCAAAACTGCACATCCTGAACAAGAGCTCATTAATTTCCTGCTCCCATGATTATAGACTACACTTCAACACATTTCTTCTTCATTTTTAAGGTAAAACAGAATTGTGTGAACTGTAAATAAACATAATCGAGTTTCATGTAAACATTATCTACAAGCTGATGTCAGTCTCATAAAGACTTGAGTCTTTCATACACAGAGCTATTGGTTGTCACCACTTCCCTAATCCCCTTACTAAAGGTGCTGCAATATTGCAGTTGGAGCAGTACAGCTGGCTGGTGCACTGAGCCACCAGCACCTTTTTGGTGTAAAAGTATCAAGCGTGTATGTGTATATATACATAGATATATATAGATATATGTATGTATATATATCAGTCTCAGACAGAAAAGGCTAACAGCAACTTGTGAAACTTGACCATATAAAAGAAAAATATTTCATCTGAAATCTAAGAGGAGACCGAAGTCTTGCAAGATCCCTCCCACAAACTACTGCAGTCACCACCATTCCCGAGGGCCATTCTCAGAAGTCCATTCGTGCTGCAACCAAAGGCCCACAGGTCACCCAGCACCAACTTCCAGGCATCACAGAAATCCCATGTTACAGTCAGTGGAGTCTGCACCCAGGAGCCACTGGGGTCTGCAGCCCAGCCCAAGCCAGATGAGTGGTCACAGTCCCGAGCCCTAGCACAATTCTTAAACCACACAGCTGCCGGACCTTCCCCCGACTCCCTCCAGAGCTGTGCTGGATCACACAACCCATTCACTGAGTCTCACAGGTCACTGCTCCCACTGCCCACAGCGGGGGCAAGCGGGACCTCGGGGTCACGTGGGCACCAGGGAGGTTTATCATGAGGCTGCTCACCACAAGAGAAGCTGTTCATCAAAAGAGGTGTAAAATGGATTTAATGTGAGAACAAGGCCAGTGTATGTTGTGCTGCTAACACCTGGATTCCCATTTCTGTCGCCCCTACCAGAAGGATCCTTTAGAACGGACGTGGCCTTATTTTGAGAGGTTCTTCTCTCCCACACCTGAACTGCTTCCGTGTTTTCATTAACCAGTTGGTGAAGGAAACCTAATGAGGCCATGCAGTGCTTGAAGAAAACAGCAGTTCTTCTGTGAAGCTGAGTAATCTTATTTCAATCTCATAAGATTCCTCAGACATCAATTTCCTATGTTAATAGTACAGATAAGAGAACTGCTGATCAACAATAAAAACCAGATTAGCACTTCACACCAGATCCCATATGAATAGATTTAATTCAGCACTGACTAAACAGTAAAGGAAGGT